CCACTCTGCTGATTAGCCTGGTTTTTGTTCCCGTCTCCCATATATACACCTCCTGTTCGCTGGCTCCTCTTCCTTTCTTTGCCCTTAATGTGTGTTTTCCCTGATGTCTCCTGGATTTTGGTTTTATTGGAGTTTGTTTGTGGACATGGGCTTCTGTTCCCTCTTTGGATTATTAAACTTGCAAGAAACCACCCCATATTCAGTGTCTGCTTTTCAGTCCTCAAAAGACCTTCTCTCAACCCGACAAATCCAATTTATGTATTTGTTGTAAGGTGTCCTATACTCTGCAGTGGCTGTTGGGGGAACATGGTGGCAGCCTACTGCTCAGATTGCTTGCTTTATTTTCTTTCATTTCTAATGAGAGCCTGAAATACCTCATCACATGTTTCCAGATGATCTGGTTGTTGGCATTGCAAGAAGAAGCCAATCTAGAGACAAAGGATGTGGATGGTGGTTTTTAGGTCCCCATTATGAGACAGATGTGGGAGAGTGTTGAGGATTGTCTCTGCTTGATCACTCTGCATTTTCTAACCGGGCAGATTGTGGCTATCAGGCCACCCTAACATGTATGTCCTGTACATGGGTATCTGATAACAGTCTTTTCTGTCATTGTTTTCCAATGACAAAAGACTAATCTCAAGATGGGGGTGTCAAGTTACCATAAATCTATAATATGGTGAGATCAGACCATGTTTATTGCTAAAAGCTGATTAGACAGCAATTTTCTGAATTTGATATAAACTAATAACACCTCTTTCATTCTTCCAGAAGCTTTGAAGTTAAAACATTATTCATGTAGTTCTATGTTATAGTTGCTCATATGATATAAAATGAAATGTATGCTTTTGTTATATACATGAAAAATGAAACATAATCCTTGTATTAATCAGACTATAGTAAGTTAGAACTGTACAAGGCTGAAGGAGAGATATCCAGACAAAGAGTCTGAGATAAATCAGAGGAGGAAGGCATCAATGAACATGCATGCATCTTGTGAGTGAGGATGACTCACCAGCAGAAAAGGAAAAATTAAAACATGGTGAATGAGGTAGAGCACAAACTCCTCTTATGGTTCTCATCATCCTCTGAACAATAGAGTGTATATTGGAAACGTATTTTCCTGAACAAGCTAAAGTAATGAGCCTGAGCCTTTCTTGGTTAGACGTAATGTACCCCCCACCTCCCCCTCTCCACACCGTGTCCACTCATCTGCTTATGGCTCAGAGAATTAGAGCTTCACCTGCCAAAGATGGTCAGCTTAGCTGGACAAAAAAAAAAAACTTTTCATGCAATGCATCTTAATAAGAGATATGATCTGTAGATGAAATGTGCGATTTACTTATATATAATATGATAATATGAATTACATCCAAAATGATTATCTTTTTTTTATTTTTACTTTGTAGATATTCTTTATTCTGTTTATTTTATTCTTATTTTCAGGAACCATGGCAACTTCTTTTATACACAACATTTATTTGTCTCTCCATAGCAGAATGCAATGACAAAACTTTTTATTTCATTTTATCATTAACTCGGTTCACCTTCCCGCCCATGCAGCTCAGTGGGGGTTGCATAATAGGATGAGATGGCCAGTGTTTTTATTCCAGTGTGGACACATTCATATAGGAGATTCACAAGGAAATGAGGCAGCAACCTTCTGAAATTTCAGGTTAGTAAAATTATTCCGAATCTTGGATATCTAGGATAAACAAAGACCTTTTTTAAACTTGTATTTAGGGTATTTTTGTCTGCAAGACCAAAGTGGAAAAAAAAACTCTTGTCTAATTTTTGTTTTGATTTTGAAGTATTGATGAAGCATTTAATATTGCATAATTTGCTCCATCATGATAAAAATTAAGATTAAGAATAAATCAATAAATGTAAGAAAAAAAATTATGTAAGAAAATGTTTTAATTATTTTAAATATGAGAATATTTTGGCTTGTGGTTATTTTTTAACCTGTTTTCTATAAAGTTGAATATCAACTCTTTTTATTGCAGGGATAGCTATACCAGGAATAGATTCTAAAACGGTTAAACTTTAACAACTTCAGCAGGTGTGTATTTGTGAATCTTCATGTCAGATCATGTGTAAAGGATCCAAAGTCTAGATATTTCTTTGGTTACAATGAAGAAAAAAAGAGTCAGTTTTAGCATCAACCAATGATTTCATAGGGGTTATTTAACTTGGACGACATAAAGATAAAATCAACAACAAAACAAATGTGGAATTCTTCAAGGTGCTTTTTTGTGTCTTGGTTTAAACAAAGTGTAAACAGAATTGAAGAGACAAACCTAATATATTTAGGAATAGAACAACACAACAGTTCTCTCTTAGTTGCTGGTTTTACGATTATCTGTGTCTAGTAAAGAAGGACTTCTTTTAATAGAAGCTAATTTCCTTATTGAAAACAGTTTTTAGAAAAAGACTACCACTGTAATTTCTTACAACATAAGGGTCAAATATTCAAACCTAATATCTAAAAATAAAGGACTGATTCTATTCTATTAGTATTTGCCAAGCATTATTATTTACCATATAGGTAACTGGTTAAAGTCTAATTGAAAAGAAAGAAAGGAATTTTTTTTTTTACCATTTCCATAATTATATGCTTTATTGTTTAAAAAAAAAAACATTCTTACTTACTGTTCTTATGACTATTTGTTTCATAGGTTTATCCGGTTCCATTTGTTGAAAAAGGAACAAATCTGTTTCTATTTTAGGTCATTTTTGTTCTAAAACTGAGAACTGCTGAGCTGACAACATGGCTTCAGGAGCAGAAGGTGAGTTCACTTAAGCCTACAGGGTAAAAGTGAATAAATCAAAATCTGTTTTTAATGAAACTTTCATAAAGGTTTTTTTGAAAATACAACTAAGTAAAAACACTATCAAATCCATGTTTGCTGATACCTACATTGTTTGTGATCCTCTGGTCCAAATCGGTCCCTTAACTCAAAATTCTACAGTTTACCCCATTTAACCATTGCACATTTAACTGAAATTCCTTTTTTTTTTACACTTTCCCTAAACTCTTTATCATTTACCCAACGTAGAAACCTGTCATTAAATGTAAAATTATAATTTCCATCTTATTTCAACCATTTGGTTGCAAAGTTTTTAACCAAACTTCTGGGCGCCTTTCATTTCTGTACCTCAGTGTGCTTTATTGTATTTCTATATACTTTTCCTTTCACAAACTATTAAGCACCACCAGCCTATCATGAGCTGTAACTGGCAGAGACTAAAACCTGTACACAAGTCTCAGAAGAACATTTGCCTTGTTTACTTCAATCCTTGAGCTTAAGTTGAGAAAAAGAGAGTGCCATTTCTCTGAGCCTTTCCTAATTTCCTAATGAATTTATGTATTTTGTAGGACTGCCAGGTTAAAAAAAAGTAAAAAATTAATCTAGTTAACAACAGGATTTGTAATTGATTCTTACTTACTCACATTATAATCACATATCTGTTAAAGCAGTGATAGGGAACAATGGTCCTCTGAAGGGCTTTGTATACTGCTCAATTTAAAATTAATAACAGGTATTTAATTAAGTTAATAAAAGTTTTCGTAAAATAGTTTTTATTTTATAAGTATTTAAACTTACACTTTTGGACAACAATCAATACGTTTAACTGAGAGGGATGCTCATGGTAAGACAAAATGCCCATAGGGCAACACAAGTCAAAACAGATTGGGACACACTGCTCTAGGGCTTCAGTCCTTTAAGTTTTCCATGTCAGTTTGCTCCCACACAGCCTTTGAAATTCTCTAAAGTGACTCGTTGATTAGAATCTGGTTTGTTGGGCACAGGAATGAGGTACCTGTGCTAAAGGTACCTGAATGCTAAAGGTACCTGATTAAAAATTTGAATTGAAGGACATTACAAAATTGTAGCTCATGGCTAATTAGTCTTCCTGTGGTTGATTTGCTGATTTGTTAATTTCATTTAGCAGGCGTGGGTTGATGAAGTCTGTTCACGGTAGCACTAGCAGCTGTAGGCACATAACTTCTGACATGTTTTGCATTTTAATAATACTTGAAACCACAGCAGCATCAAGGATAAAGCAAGTAGTTTTTACAATAATTACAAATCAACTTGCTGTGATTGACAGCATCTTGTCTTCTAAAGTTATTTTGTCTTACACTGTCCCTCCTATTTTTTATATTTTAATTCCAGTCAGGCACCTTTTACTTCCTCAAGATAAGTTACCTATATCTGGCGATACAACAATGTAATGTTGGTGAAGTGCCAACATCTGTTATTGGACTAAAATGGAAAAAATTACAAGGACCAAACAGCCCAGTTATCACCAATTATGGATACTGGATTAAATCAAGACTATGACAGACCGACCAGGTTTATCCTAAAACCAACGTCTAAATGTCTGTTTTTTTTCCTCTTAACCACCTCCACTTCTCCCATGAAGTTAACAGGAGTCAACTTCTTCATCTTTCTTCTGAAATCTACAATCATTTCCCTTGTTTTTCTCACTTTCAGAATCAGATGATTGTTTCCACAACATGACATAAAGCGGTTCACTAACTGTTTTTAATCTACTTGTCTACCTTTGATCTACCCAATGACTGCAGATTCATCTGAGTATTTTTACAGATGACAGGAATCTGTCTGGTACTGGAAGTCAGGTGTACAGAGTAAAAATTAATGGGAGAGTAGCGTCCCCTGTGGTGCTCCTGCGCTTCTCACCACTTGATTAGACATCTGACCCTTCAATCTCAAAAGTTGTGGACTGTTTGTCAGGTAGACTTTAATCCAGGCAAATGTTGTTGGCTTTAGCTGAGTATTCTGGAGTTTCTCAGAAAGTACGTTAGGTTTAATTTTGTTAAACACAAACAAATCAAGGAACATGATCTTCACTGTGCTGTCTGCTTTATCTAAATGACAGCGGGTTTGTTGAAGCAGGTATAATATGGCATCATTGACTACAACTCTACGGCAATAAGCAAACTGATTGTTCATCAGCACTTTTTTTACCAATATAAAATATTGTGAACTTTGTTTTATCAATGTTTAATAATATTCTGTAATTATTTTACAAATTTTCATAAATTCAGTTTCAACCATAGATATGAAAACTGATAACTCATAAATATTTGTGAATTAGGATTAATAAAAATAGGCTTACTGACCATAGCTCAGTCTGGGTTATTATACACAGTCAGTTTTATTATACACAAGAAGACAGTGGAAGTAAGCAGACTCCTTATACCCCTTTGGATCTTGGAGGTACAGCTTTCCATTGTGTTTTACACTCACAATAATTTTGTCAGTTCGTTTAAATGTTTTATCTTCTTTACTTCACAGGCCAAAGTCTCAGGATTATGCTATTTGGAGCAACTCTGTCAAGCAAGAAACAACTCTGTAATTTTATTTTAGAGAAACCAAGTCCAGAGATATCATCCAAACCCCATCAAGGCAAAGTAGAGCAGGGTTCATGGAGAGGACATTTCTTAACTATCGTGACACCTCCAGAAAGTAAGATTGGAAAAGTCCTAAAAGAGGACCTGAGAAGCTGTGTCAGTCTTTGTCCTCCTGGACCAAATGTTCTGCTGCTCTTAGTGAATCCTTCACACTTCACAAAGAAAGACGGAAGAACTCTGAAGGCCACCCTGAATTTCTTTGGTAAAAATGCCCTTAAACATGCGATGGTTATCATAACTGAAGCAGTGAATGAAACAAGGTTTTCTCTAAATTCATTAATCAAAGGATGTGAAGGTAGACAGTACAGCCTGGCAGAAAATAATCACCAGAAATTAATGGAGAAGATTGAAGATATTGTAAAGAGAGACAGCAGTGCCTACCTTAGCATCAAAGATGATGGAGCAGCATCCAAATGTGACCAGTCATCCTTAAACCTGGTTCTGTTTGGGAGTAGAGAAGCTTGGAAGACCTCAGCAGCCAAGGCCATTCTAGGTCAGACAGATCTTCATTCGGCCTCCAGCTCATCAGAGTTTGTTAGAAACCAGGGAGAGGTTCGTGGACGTTGGGTTTCTGTGGTGGAGCTACCTGCATTGTATGGAAAAGCTCAGCAGCAAGTGATGGAGGAATCATTCAGGTGTATCTCCCTCTGTGAACCTGAGGGTGTCCACGCCTTCATCCTGGTCCTACCTGTGGGTCCCCTCACTGATGAAGACAAGGGAGAGTTACAGACCATCCAGGAAACATTCAGCTATCTGGTCATAAACAGCACAATGATTCTGTTCATTGAAGATTCAGATCCTGAACATCCAGATGTGGTTAAATTTTTTGAACAAGACAAGAACCTTAATAATCTTATTAAAAAATGTGGAAAAAGATACTTTGTTGTCAAAAGCAGTGACAGAAAGAAGTTCTCTAATATAATAGATTTTGTGGAAAAGGGGAATCTAAGGTGCTACACACCTAGTACCCTCTCAAAAGCCTACTTTGACCAAATTCTACAACAAGGCAAAACAATAGATGAACTACAGAGACAACTTTCCAATCTGTCATCAGAGACTGGGTTCAGCGGTAGGTACCTTAAACTAAGTCCTTAGATATGGAGGGGAATACTTATATATATATATATATATATATATATTTTTTTTTTTTTTTGTCAGTAAAAGGTTTATAGATACTCCAGTAAGCAATTTATCATCTAAGAAATTTGAAGAATTTGCAACATGAATAAATTGACTTAATTTGAAGGTCTTGATATTTCAAACATTGCTTAGATTTTTTTTTTTTACAGCACATAAAGGTGAATCCATCCAATTTTGCTAACTCTTTATTCTACTCTATTTACATATATGCACATTAAGAGATGATAAACAAAATGGCATAACATACTTGGTATGCTTTTGCCCACCATCATTGTTCAGAGGATTTTAACAGAGTCTTGAACTGTCCTGGACCAATAATCTTAGATTATACAGAAGTTTGAGCATTCAGATCACTGCTACTATGTAGAAGCACAAGCCAGTGTGAGCAAAGTCTGAGAAACACTGACTGTTTTACTGGTGAAATAATAAAGCAAAATGTTACCTGAGGCGTTAATGGGGTATTTTTCCTGTTGAGCAAACCTTAAGAATTTTATTTATTTATTTATTTTTTTCTACATGATGTCAGTAAAGTTATTTTAAAGCAGCAATGAGCAAATCAAGATTAAGCCCACACCTACAAGAGACAGAGGGAAAATAATATGCTCAAAGCAGGCCTTTCCATCTTGCCTGATTTTCAAGACTTTATTTCTGTTGCTGGAATAGAATAAACTCTGTTATACCTTGTAAATGCTTCAAGCCAAGAGTATTAGTATTTCTCACTTAAAAAAAACTTTAAAAAGCCATTACCCAGGTGTATTAGACATTATAGTGGTTCAGGTCATGGCAGGATACGTTATTAAGATTGGGTGACTGTGTCCCCCCCTACTTTTCATTATTTTTAGGATTTTCAGCTTTCACTATATCAATATAGCTAAAAGTCTTTCACTTTACTGTAAAACTGAGTAGTAATTTTAATTTAAGTTTAAAATAGAATTAATATTGGTCCTTTTGATTCTTTCCTGTGTTCTACTGTAATGTACTTATAATTTCTGAGTAAACTGACCTCTTGTTCCTCTGTTACAGGAGATAAAGACAAGTGGACAAATAAGTGCCTAAGGATAGTTCTGATTGGGAAGACTGGGTGTGGGAAAAGCTCTTCAGGAAATACTATCCTTGGTAGAGAAGAGTTTGTAGCCAATGTAAGCCAAATGTCAATCACAAAGTGTTGTAAGAAATCTCTGGGTGAGGTGAACGGCCGTCCTGTTGCCGTAGTGGACACTCCTGGTTTGTTTGATGACAGTTTAACACAAGAAGAAGTGAATAAAGAGTTATTGAAATGTATCAGCCTTTTGGCTCCAGGTCCACATGTATTTCTGGTGGTGGTACCAATTGGAGGAAGACTCACACCAGAGGAGATGGAGACATTACAACTTATTAAATTAGGTTTTGGGAAAAATTCTGAAAAGTACACCATCATGCTTTTAACCAAAGGAGATTTGCTAAAAGGTAAACAGTCCATAGAAGATTATATAGAAAAGAATTGTGATGACTCCTTTAAAAAGATTTTCAGTGACTGTGGGGGAAGGTATCATTTGCTTGACAACAATGACATCCAAAACCGCAGACAGGTAATGGAGCTGATCAGGAAGATTGACACCTTGGTGGAAAAAAATGGATGCTTCACCAATGAGATGCTGCAAGAGGCAGAGATAGCCATAGAGAAACAAATTAATCTAATCCTTGTGGAGAAAGATGAAGAAATGCAGAAAGAAAAAAAGCTATTGGAAGAAAGACACAAGAAGGAGAAGGAGGAGATGGAGAGACGAATGGAAGAAGAAAGAGCAAATATTGAAAAGGAGTTTAAGAAAAAAGAAGAAAAAATTAAACAGATTGAGAAAAAACTTCAGCATGCTCAAGAAGAAAAAATGAAAGAACATCAACATAGAAAAGAAGAAGAAGCTAAATGGAAATCTGAGAGAGAGGCTTTGATAGGAAATGTTTACCCAAATTTTCATGAATTTGAAGATTTGAATGAAAAAGTTTCTGGTTTCCATAACTTTGACCAAAACCAAGAAAATGGTAAATTCAAAATGATAGAGGACTTGGAGAAAGAGATGGAAGCTTTACGCGAAAAATGGGAAGAAGAGGACAAAAAGAGGGAAAATGAAAAAGAAAAACTTGAACATGATTATGAGAAAGTAAAAGATGATACAAAACAGATGGAAGAGGATAAAATCAGAAAAGAAAAAGAGGTTATGGACATACAGAAACTGGAGGATGCATTTCGGCAGGATTTAGAGAAAATAAAAGAAAGATATCAGGATGAAGCGCGACAAAAAGCTGAAGAGCTCAATGAGTTTAAAGACAAATATTTGAAAGAATTTACAGCCCAGATGCAACAGAAGGATGAAAAGTATAATATGCTAAGGGCCCTCAAAGACATGAGTGAAAATAAACACAGAAAGGAAATAGCTGACTTGGTGAAATGCATCACTAGAAAGAAAGAGAATGTGAGAAAACTAAAGGACATGCTGTCAAAACAAGAAGAGGAGCGGAAAAAGGCAAAAAGTCTACAGGAATGCAAACAACAGGGGGACTTGCATGATAAAGAGCTAAGTGGTCTGATTCAGCAGCTCCTGGGTGAAACTGATGTAAAAACTAGCTGTGTCATTTCATGAAATATGGCATATGGTGCTAACATGATGACTAAAGAGTTAATCTCCATAATTTGGGCTTCATCTTTATGGACATTAGCAATCCACATTTATTAGAAAAACAACCTGCTGATAATTATTTTGAAAAATCTCACTCACAGGAGCATCAATATGGGTGATATCTTCCTCTGGTTTCGATGTATGGTCAAGATGTCTGTTGATGCATTTTAACTTTTATGTCTATTACTTGAATTTGAATGACAACTGGAGGTTCAGCTGAAGATACATGTCTGAAATTATTAAATTGAGTTCAGTTCAATTCAAAATTGTTTAATCTCGAAAGGAACGTTGAATGTTGTAGTTTTTACTTTTTATGAGTTGTTGTTCGTGTCACTCTATAAGAGGTTTATAGAAGATTTGCAGCATCTTGCTGCAAACACTGAAAGTTCTAAGCTTCCTTAAGAACTAGAGTACGCTCTGTTTTTTCTTCAGATGTGTCTCCAGTAGAGTTCCGGGTGAACACGGATGTAGCTGTACTCCTCCACCACCTCCAATTATTCCCCTGGGATGTTATTAGCTTTAGACTTGTTCATTTTTTCTTTTGGAATATACAGTTATTTTCCTTGTTTTATTATTATTCTTTTTGTTTATTTAATTTTTTCCCACTCAGGATGAGATGATGACCAAGCCATTAAGTGGTTAAGCTACTTTGTGTACTTAGCTCATTGCCCATCTCTGATGAATCCAACAACAACTCTGGTAGTCACCACAGTGTTTTTCCAGATGACAGGACTCTGTCTTGTACTGGTAGTTTTTGATCCAAGTAATTATTGAGTCTTCCGTTGAGTCTCGAGTCTTCCTGACAGAGCAAATCCGGTTGAATCATAATAAATGCATTGGATTGGATTAATTGAAGAACATGACAGCCAGAGTGCAGTCTGCAAAGTCTAAATGTGGAGTGTGAGTTGTTAAAGCAACTATATGATGCTGTCTTCAACTATACGATGTAGGATGTCAGGGTAACAGGTCTGTAGTCATTGAGGACTAATGGCTGTTTTCTTGGGTACCAGAACAACGCATGAGGTTTTTCATCACACTGAACTGTTAACTGAGTCAGGCAGAGGTTGAAGAGGTACTGTAGAATCTCACAGAGCTGCTCCTCATGGGCACACAGAACTCTGAGACTGACACCAGCTGAATCTGGTGACTTATTCTGTTGCATCACTTTAGTTGCTTCCACATTTGAACTCTAGAAAAGAAAGACAAAAGAGGAAGACAAATGGGACAAAGACATAGAATCAGGACTGTTAACTGCAGAGATGTAGGATAAAACATTTGAGGTGACAGAACAATTTTGTGTCACAAGTGTGTGAGATGTGGATTTTCTTGTGGGCAAGTAAGAAGGATGCTAAGCCTTTTCTTGAACTAAACCTTTTGTGTTTAGTTTAGAACCTGTCTTTAATTTAATGGCTTTGTCCAGATGCAATTTTGATTTTTTTTTATTTTTTTTGCAGAGAAAGATCATCAAGATGTTTTTATTTGATTAACATTAAATAATGTAAAGGGATTATTTCATGGTTTCAAAATGAAGGTGGTCTAATTTTGATGATGTTTTTTTGCATCTGTAACATGACATTTGACATATTGACTGAATTTTGATGTATTTAATTTCAACACCACATGAGAAGATGATTAACAGAGAGCTATTAGTAGAGGTCAAGGCTGAATTTCAGGATTATTGTAAAGAAAGGAGGGAGACCAATTATAAAGGATTTTGCACATCCAGGAATTTTGTATATCAAATGATGTGTTAACTAAAGAACTCTGTAGTAGAAATTGCATAATGCAGAAGTGTGCTAGCTTAGGGACTGGGGAAAATCAATAATGGGATAAAGGGGAATTTTGTTGAATTTCATGTGCCAAAAGAGCACTTTACATTAGCGCAGAGGAGAGGACAGAAGAGGAGGATAGCCTTGGAAAATCCAAGGACAAAGCCAACTCTCTGGAGTGCCCTGCAGTGCCCTCTGCAGCCCAGTTGTTGGGCGTGCCAACAGGCACGCCCAACAACTGGGCTGTGGACTTCTGCTGAAAATACTCAATGTGGATTCGGCCAATGATGAGCACCTGCCTGCTTCAGAGTGGTCAATCTAACCTGTTCTGGGCTTCAAGTTGATGTTAAAATATCCTGCTAGGCCAAGCAGTGATAATTGGCTTCACATGCCAAGCAGAGCACTTGAGTTGGAAGGTAATGTGAGCCGAAACTGCTAAGGAGACCTAATGGACCTGGACATTTGGTTGCTGCCATTCAGATAGATAAATAACTTGATCCAAAATTATATGCAAAGGACTGTTTCCAAATGTGGTGCAAAAAATCTGTCTGTTCGCTCAAAAAAGCTTTTCCCAGAGTTTTAGCCTCATTGTTAGAAAGGGTTAGGATAACAATTCTAATCTTATGGTTTTATTGATTAAATCTGCTTTACTAATTGTTTGCCAAAAATGTATTAATAAAAAAAAGTATATGAAATATGAGGTTTAGTATTGAATGTTTGAGTCACTTGGTTATTGACTTTTTTAAAAGGTGACTAAATAGTCTTGGTAAATAGCCTCCAAACATAGATAACCTAATCTATTTCAGACTACAACTCTTGCTTAGGGAAAATGTGCTAAACTCTATATTTTTAGATTTTTCATTGTTATTATAAGCATATAAAAGCCAATAATTACTTAGACAGATTTATTTTGTCATTTTGTATACACAAGTGTAAACAAAAAGAAATTTCATTTAGAACAGCTCTAGACAATTTCATATTTTATCCACAGGGTGGTAACATTACTCCATAGGAACCTTGCAGTTTTCCTGGAAGTACTTCCTTAAAAGGGCAGCATAGACAGCTCCATAAATCTCAGCCTTAATGGCATCTCCTTTATGATCCAGTGGAGTCAGCTTAGCTTTGGACTCAAACATTCGTACAACAACCTCTCTGCAGCAAGTCCACCTTAGATATAATACTGCTCCATAAGAATGCTCACTTCCATCAGAGAATGTGATGCCCCAAGGTTCTGCCTGTGCCTTTCGGGGTGTTAGTGCTCTGGGGAATCTCAGTTTGACCAACTCCACATAACCTTCAAACAAGGAAATGGCATCCTCCCAAAGCTCATCAGACAATGCTTTGTTCCATGTGCCTTCTGCTCTCTTGCCTTTGCTGTTTGCTTCTTGGAAAGCCTTCCTAACCAGAATAGCTAATTGTTGATTAACAGGGGTTGCAAGCCCAAGTGGGTCATACAGTCCAAAATCCTAGCTCAGAAGTACTCTTCGATTTAGTGGATTTGGTGCTTGCTGTATCATGTCCTCCTTTGATAAATTCTCACAAAGCCTTATCGTCTTTCATTTCTTTGATGGGAGTTCATCGTTAAACGGTGCATAGCCCATGCCGAGAGCCTTATGGTCTTCATCTGATAGTTGATTTGGGAGAACAATATTGCAGCACCTGCCCTCTTGGGGTTGTCCTCAGGGCACCTCTCACTTGGGCCAGAGTAAACCCAAGGTTTCAGTTGAATCCCACAAGCTTTTAAGATCCAGTCATTGCAAGTAGTGAGCATGTTGTCTACATACGTGTCCTCCAGCACATGGCGTTCTTCCAAAATATCAGAGAACCTTGGCAGCCATGCGGTCCCTCTCATAGCAATTTGACTAATGCATAATATTGACCTTTGTTATTGCATAGTCACTGATGTCGTCTGCTTCAGAATCTCTCCAAAGATAACGTTGAAAATGGACCTCCCGATCCTCAAGCCAGACAGAGTTATACATTTTTTTTAATGTCTCCTAGAGAGGCAAAGGTGCCTTGACGGCACTTTAGGAGGACAGCTTGTATATTGTTCAATAAATCACGGCCTTTGATGAGTAGATTATTTAGACTTTGGCCTTTATATTTTTGACTGCTATTCCAAACGAGCCGCACATGGGTTATGACTGAGTGAGGATTAGGTGCAATGTGTTGGCTGATATACCATACAGGACCAGTCCAGTCCTCCAACATTTGTTTTGGCAATCTGACGGCAGCTCCCTGCTCAATCATATCATGCACCTTAGCTTTATAGGTCATTTTCCAGTCTGGCTCCATCGACAACTGCTGTTCAGTCCTCAAAAATCTGTAATTATTAGGCAACATTGCAGAAACCTCAGCTCAAGGATATTTTGCATGCCAGTGGGCCTCAGCACAGTGGTGGTCTCTCATTGAATAAGAAAAACCACTCCTTACCAGTTCCATCTCCCACTCCTCAAAGAGAGTCATCTCATTTCCTCCAGACTGGCATTTTCCACAGTGGTACCCTCCAGATTTTGGCTCAAAGGCAGCGCCAATGCTGTCCCACCTCCACCTCTCAAAAGAATGTATGACTGGTGCCTGTGGTGGAGGCCAGGGAGACCTGACATGGGTTGTATGTGCCACTGTGCTATTGTGGGTATGCTCCCAACATTTTTCTGCAGCAGTTCACATTGAGTGAGTGAGGTGAGTTCTTGACATGTGAGCCATAACACTAGATTCCTCAAAGAGATCTGAGTGGGAGCCATGCACACTTTGCCTCAGAGGGCCAAAGAAGTTCTCCCCCTGACTGTACCTTCTGCAGTACAAGTTGACCCTCCTTGTGACTGATGAGTAACTTTATTTTTCTTGGTCTGGTGAATTCATGTGGAGGGAGTGTCTGGGAAGATTCTTTGCAGTTTCCTGACTAAAACATGATGGTGGATCTCTGCAAGGCTGTCGAGGCCATAACACACAAGTTAGTGAGACCTCAGTGTGCCCCTGGGGGTACTGACCTTTCAGAAGACACTGCTTTGTCTCCACTGTAACCTGCATTCCTCCTTCCCAATGGACAACCAGATTAACATCTTCACTTTTTAAATCTTTTTACCCAGAAGCCTCATGAGTTATGCCATTAGTGTCTGAAGCTAGATCTATCAAGGTTCAAATCCTCTGTACAGCATTTGCAGTGACTAAGAGGATCATCATGATAACAGGGAACCCTTGCAGTGCATGTTCTTCGAACAAACATTTGCTTCCAATAGAGTCGAGTGTCCTTCCTGCTGCACTGCAGAAGACATTTTAGCATTGCTGAGCCCTCTTGCTTTACACCCTCCATCAGAATTAACTTCAAGACAGTTTTTGCAGGCTTCAGCCTTTTGGACTGCCTCCTCCTTTCAGCCAGATTTAGGGCCTTAAACTTTTTGCATTGATACAATCTCAACTTGCGAACACTCCCTCCATAAACAGTACACGCTCCTTGGGGGTTAGCAGACCTGGTGACTTTAGTCCTGGCCTGCTTTACTTGACCTTTTGGCTCTTTTCTTAAAGACTGCTCATCCCTTCACTGCTCCAGTTCCTCATAAATTTCCTCTTGACTTTCCAAGAATGACAGTAGCATATCAAAGCGGTCTCTGAGTTCCTGTACCCTTCTTTTTAGCAACAAACAAAGGCCATTCCTTCTTTAAGAGTTGGCCAATTCTTTTAAGTCATTTAAATCCTTTCCCCCCAACCGTATAAGATCTACAATTTTCTTTGTCTGGTGACCTTTTACTGGGGGCAGTGCCTGAAGCTCCTCTACTTTTTCTAAGGCCATTGTTGGTTTATTACCAAAGCAATTTTCCAGCTTGCGGAAAATCTCATCTGGGGAGGGCAATCGGTCTTAACTTAATAGCTGGACTAGAGATGCCGCCGTTTGACTTTCATCTTCAGATTTTGCTTGTATCAAGGCAGCTCTTGCTGATAACAATTTGGCCGAAAATACCTGCATTTCCTTTATACGTCATTGAAGATCCCCTTTCTCCTTTGTTGGGGCCAAGCGACCTCACTGAAGATATGGTTCTTTAGCCAAATTCACTCGGAAATCCAGCTGACTTCACATGAAATCATATGCTTCCAACCTCACGACTGAAGAAGATGCAGACCTCTGACACTCTCCCTCTGCCAATTTTAAACAGGTAGTGAGCTCTGGATGTAAAAAGTTACTGCAAATATTTTAATGGATAACATCTTTCATCTCTTCTAGCCTTCTCTCACACTCCTTTGAAGCTTTTCTAATATCCTCAGACTGTTCATCAAGGTGAGGTCCCCTTTCTCATCCCTGGTCTCTGCATACGCAGCCTCAAGATCATTTGCATTAATGGCTTTGTCAGCCAAAGCAATCTTGCCAAAAATCAACTCTTCAAATGACATATTCCTACATGTTCTAATTATAGTATTGGCCAGTTGAGAAAACTGCCTTTTAGCTAAGGTCCTGCCTGTCTTGAGCTAGTGCAAACCCTTAGAATCTGTCATTTGCTTTGGGCTGCTGGAGCTTTAAGCTGCTGCACTGAAAAAAGGATTTTTTGGATCAGCTTAAAAACATTACTGTAGTTTGTTACACCTAAATTTATCTCTTTTTCTCAAACTAAGTTTCTGATGTGGTTGAAACTATACATTTTGATTTACTACAAATACATTTTTTACCTTAAGTCAAAGAAATAAGCAGCATTTATACCAAGTGAAACTATAATCTATAACAAAGACTATAAACAAATTTTATCCTTCATTAAAACCACTTTTTTCAAGTTGGAAAACCCTTTTTTTCCTCCATTACATATAAATATAGATTTACTTTCTAATAAACTGATTAAAATGTAATTTTCTTACATGCATTTTTTTCCACAACATAAATTTCTGAATCACCATAAAGAAACACGTAATGTCCTTTAGAAGCCAAAAGAAAAAGCCATCTGTATGAGGTAGAATCATGTAGAATCATGTAGAATCAGGAAATAGAAAGGCATAACTAAAAAATAAAAGCCCCATAAATCTATTTGACATACTTCAAAATAAATCCAAAACTATTAGCAAAATAAACCACAGAAGACTCAGGAGACTTTTGGTGCAAAAAACAACAACAATGACAACAAACATAATATGTACAAAAACAAAAGGATATCTGAATTGTGTCAATTATAACAAAATAATCTGGGTCATTTACAGAGAGCTTTATGTGAAGTAGGCATGACTAACAAATATCTGAAATGACTGCACTATTAAAACTCGCCATATATAGTCAACGACAGATTCCTCTGACAAAAAAAAAGATAACTTAAAATTGACATTTCCAATGATGATTTTTCTACTTTACCTTCATAATGTCTGACCAGGTCAAAATGAAACAGTGTTTTGACTTTTACGTCTTCTCCCTTCCTTTCTTTCCTTTGTTCCTCCTCTTCTTCATACTTTCCTCTCTTCCTTTCCAGTTAAAACAGATGGACAGTTTCTCTTTTTTTAATACATACTTTTGTTTCACTTGAACAATAATGTCTTAACAGTTTTAACACAAAATATGCAACTCTTGTCAACTGGTGAATGATTAAGTCAGATGCAAGGGGTTTAACTGCAGTTTATTTTTTTTACATGACAACCACAATGGACTTGAATAACAAGTTAAAGTAATGCTTGGCTTATCCATTAACAATCACAGCAAAAGCTTTGTTTTCAGATACCTGATGCGCTCTGAAAATCGAGAGCCACCAAGTTAAAAAAAAAAATGGCCTGAATTGCTTCAAAGGTATACCTCATCTGCTTTGGTAAATCAATGTTGAGGGCATAACGAACACCAAAAAAGGTATGCCAAGGCAGTAGAGATATCTGGAAAGTTATGTAGCACGGTGTGCCCTTCCAACACAACTGCTTGATTTCACACTGATGCACCAGCACCATCATCTTATAGGATGGAGGTAATTTATTTTTGCCCTGCTTGTATATAGTCACAATGAAGCTGACAGTGTGCAGCTATAGTAATTCATGGCCCAGTTTAGGAGAATAATGAGGTATTTGTTTTATTATGTTTTTGTTTTTTTTTCAGGTTGTGTTTGTAACAATCATTGAGTGTTTAAATGTTTCCAGGACAGGCTGGCAAAGTCTCATGCCTCTTTGTATTCAGTTTAAGACGTGAACTCTCACATTTTCTATCAGATCTAGAATATCTGGAGAGAGAAATAAAATGAACAATTATCTAATCCTAACAAAAAGAAGCTGCTTAATCAGTCACTTCATCTCTCTCTCTTTTTTTTTTCTTTTTTTTTTACCAGGGCTTGTCAATTAATTATAATATCCAAAAGGTTTTTTCGTCTGTGCATGTATTTCTTCAATGCTGGACTATACTTTTTCTGTACTGTCAGGAAGTTCACAAAACATATTTAAAGGTTTGCAGCCAGAGTTCTGGTGAAATTCAAATGAGATATGGTATATATATCCTATTTTCAGCTTTCCTTTTTTGATTCCCTGTTAAATCCTGAATAGAACTCAAAATCTTCCTTATGTATAAAGCCCTAAATAACCAAGCTCCTTCTTGTATCGGAGATCTGATAGTTCCATATGTTACTAAGAGAGCACTTCAACTTTAGTGTTCAAGTTTACAAGAGATTCTTAGAATTTCTAAAGTATTATGGGAGACAAATCCCTTAGTGCTCAGTCTCCCCTTGTAGAACCAACCACCAGGCTACTTTTCATCATTCTGCTACATTATACCGTATCTCTTTTCTCCAGTTCTGCAGTATTTGGTAGTTCAACCCCTAACATGATTCAGCCTCCATCATGTTTAACCATTGGGATGTTCAGGGTGATGTTTAGTGTTAGACTGGTCCTATTCCTGTTTGGCTGTAACACCATCCTGGAGAGAAATATCAGCTGTGCTGGTGCCATCAACACCTTTGAATATACCTGATAGAGTTGGGTCAGCATTACAGACCCAACTCCTGTTTCTTTCCTTGACATAGCCATGGGATTCAGCTATTACTGTCACTAAACGGATGTGCTATCTTTCATTTCTTTTTGGCACAAAAGCTGGCTCAGAGCTTTTCTGCTCAACTTTTTCTTTCCTAGCTAGAGACACCAATAGAGCTAGTTTACCGCTACCTTTCAACAAATAAGCAGCAGAAGGTAAGAAATAACAGTTCCATATAAAATGTGCTAGATTTGATCTCTGATATCTGATATCAAATCACCAATATCAGATCCAGTTATCAGATTGATGCATCTCTGCTGTTAATGTAAATGCAAGTTATATAGCTGGAGAATTACATTTGTGAGTGGAGAGAACATTAAAGGGCTCCATTCCACAGCACACCGGGACGCTTCGGATTTTAAAGAATGTAAGTGGATCTTTAGTATTAAAAAACGAAGTTGAGTTTATGTTAAATAGATTGATAGAGCAATGACTGTTTCATTTTGGTTTATTGAGCAGCTTTCATTCATGATTTCTTTTCATTTACTTTTAATTCCCCTGTTTTCAATAAAAAAAAATAGTTTGCTTTCATATTGGAGACAAGCTGTTAGTTAAACATTGACTAAGCTTAACGTACTTCCTGTCCCACTGATAGGGGAAGGATTTCATTTCACTGCAGAGAAACAGGACATAGTCCACAGCAGGGCTACGCAACAGGCAGAAGAAAAGAACAATACAGCAACTACTTCACATGTAAGGTATGTAAAATTAAATGTAACAATGAAAATAAATGAAATCTAAATAAGTCTTTGTTTTCCTTAAATTTTTTTCCACAATTGAGGAGATACACTTTTCCAGTGGAACAAGACAATAGACATTTAAAATAGGAACAAACAACTGCATTGTCTTATTTCAAGTCAATTTTATATAATTGTCTTATATAAAGAGTAAAAATACTAATTAAATTGGCAGATCATCTTTTTAACCTACTCAAATTATGGGTAAATAGACTTAATTTAAGAAATGTTGACTTATTTCTAGATCGTTGTTGCTGCGAACTTTGTAAAATATAAGGAAAATTCAATAATCAACCCCAAAATATGTAAAACATGTTCAATATTTTTATTGTTATAATTTTTATTTGTCTTCAAAATTACACTCAGGTGAACTCAGCCTTTTAAGTTCTAAGCCTTCTAAGTACCTTTGCACAGTAGATTGACCGCTAGCTGCTCAAATGCAAATGAAGACCAACTGCCTGCCAACCAGTTGTTAGTGCTCTAAATGCAGTTATCTGTTTTCAGCATGCTTGCAATAATAGCATTTTAAGAGTGGGGCAGCTGTACTCTAAGGCCACCACCTTTGTTTCTCTTCACATAAATTGCTTCTTTTGCTCCTCTCTCAAACCAGCATTCCTTCATGTACAGGATGAGAAAATCTTCTTCTCTAAAGAGTGACCGCTCCATCTTGGCCTGATTATGTTGCTCCACTGTGCTGGGCCATTGTTTTGACCAGTAGCTGCTTTGTTTTCCCGATATATAACTGGTGACTGTCCTCCTGACACAATACCAGCTGATACAGCAAGAATCTGTGCCTTTGGGGTGAATCAGACGGATATCATAAACAAATGGAATGACACTGGTGTAATTTCGGGTCTGGAAAGCCCAGATAGGATAACCACATTGATCTAGGGTTCGCCTTGCATGTGTTTTATCGTTCTCCATAGCAAAAATTTCCCTATAATCCTTCATGTGTTCTTTTTTTTTTAGGCTAACAGCTTCTGATCTCTGTTTGTAATGAATTGTCATCATGGACTCTTCATCATCCTGTAAGTCTAATAAAAATTAATGAATACACTGTCTGTGATGATAGGATAATATAAAGTGATGATAATGATAATATGCTTCTTTATGTCCAAATAACAGTTCTTCTCAATTATGTTGTTCAAACTTAGAAAAGGTTAATTGTCTCAAAAAACACCTTTTCAAAACTTGTTTCTTTTGTTTCCACTAAATCATACTTTTTACCGAGCAAGAATTTCTTACTGTGTGTACCCACCCTATGCTGTAACTATAATTATATAATTCATGTTGTTCTCAACACTGGTTTCATCCATGGTGGTAATAAAAGATGAAAAATTTATTGGTTTACAATTACTTGGAACCAAACTTTGCCCTCTGATATAAAAGCAATATATCTGAATTATAATCTGTAAGACAACTAGCTTTAGGACTTTAAATGAAGATTTGTTTTGGACCAATGTTTAATTGCGCTCGAAAAAAGTTTTCTTTTTATAATTAAGATTGTGTTATTAAAGCCTAAGTAGAGTCTAGATGTATTTTTGACATTATTTATCTATTCATGATGCTTGTTTAAAGACATTATGGGATAAAACCTAAAACTGTTACAAGTGGCTCTAGAGATTTTTTTTTCTTAAATAAAAGCCAAAAACATTAACGCTGTAATCAAGTCCTAAGTCCAACAATTATCCCTCAGTTGTTCACCTTTTCATCTAATACTTTGTCTTTTAATACTGTTGTTAATTTTTCACCTTATCTTTGCAGCCACAACATCTGGACTGTTTCGCAGAGGTGGTATTGCCTTCCGTCCCCCTAAAAGTAGGTTGCAGAATTATTCTTTATTGTTTTTTAGGGGGAATAAAATCATAGAGATTGATTTTTTTTTTTTTTTGAGGAGAAAGGGGTGATGAAGTTTTACTAAACAATACCAGAAATACAAAACTTTGCAAAGACAACAAAATTAACTGGTTGTCAACATTTAACTGAGTCAAGCATGAATTCCATGTAAAACAAGGTTAAAAAGAAACAACAGGTTTTTTAAAGAACAATCCCCACTTCTTCTCATGGTTAATTCCTTTCTGGATCCTATCAGCAATCTACAGGTGGCCTTTTTTATTAGCTGCTCCTAAGGTATTGGTATAGCTCTTATTTTAGATCTCTGTATTTCACACATTAAAGTTGCAAATAGCATTAAATTAATTTTCATAGCTCCATTACATACTTGCTTAATTCCTGCAAAATATCCACAATATAATACTCACTTTCTTGATAAGGTAAATTTAATAAAAAAGTACTTTTTCCAACAAGTAGTCCCAAAAAAATGTAAAAGCCAACAGCACACAATGAATATATGGAAACACTTTTGTATGCAACACAAATGTGCTACTAGTATAGAAATCATAAGTCACTGTAAGTGAAACTGACTCTTTAATCTATAGAAACCACTGAATTAGCAGAGTTGAACTTTTGAAAACATTGTATTTAAATTGTCTTAAATTAATAAATAAAAAAGAGACATAACAGCTATAAAGTATAGTGTAGATAAAGCGATCTATACCGACTAAATGTAAGGTGACATAAAACATTAAGTATCTCATTTTTTTATTTGACTCTAATTAAGAGAATTAATTAAAGATAGTCCCAATGAGAAAATAAATAAATAATATTTAAATATTTTCAACATCAAATATCACACAACAAACAAATACTTAAAACTATAAATAAAAATAGAAAATAAAAATAACACATGCTTCTGAATCAGCCTTGGAAACCTTTAGTTTTGCAAGTAAAAGTTTAGCTGGAAGTAAAAGCACTTAGTGAATTAAGTTCAGTTAATTTCAAAGTACTTGAAGCAATTTCCAAGAAGATGGAGTTAAATGAAATTGATTTTTTTAGTTTACTTCAAGCAACAGAGACATAAAGGAGCACCATATAGTTTTAGCCAGTGATATGATTCACCATTCCTAAGTCCAGCTGCAGTACAGCACAGCATCCCAAATAAATACCCCAGTAAATAAACAGTAAATAAAGTTTAAAGGTAACTCCATCAAACAGCAAAAAGGCCATCCAACCAGAATGGATCAACATTTTGCAGTTTGAAACTAATCACAAAGAAGATAAATACATTAAATAATCAAAGAGATGACGCAATGACATACCAACGATTTCTGTAATCCAACCCACAAAAGCAGCAGCAACAACAAGCTTTCCAACAGATTTATGAAAAACACAATTAAAAACGTGTTTAAAAAAAATTTATTCTGACATGGCATTTAAAAATGAAGGACATATTCATCAAAATGCTCAGATATATTCATATATGTAAAGTTTCAAACTAAAAGGATCTTTTGAGGCCTCTTGAAAATATGAAATATATTAAGTTATAATAAGTTAGTTTTATTGTAATTAAGAACAAATTTCAAACTCAATAAATAAAAATGGAAAGCAACAAATGCTTTCTGCAGATGTCCAATGGCCTGACTTGGAGGGGATCCAATAATTAATTGTGTCACTTGCATTCAATGAAAAAGTGCTTTGGACATTTACTGGATGACTAATATAGATCCCTGCCACATCATGAACAGCTATGTCCTCAGAACAAATTCCATCATAATTAATAAATACAATTTTTTTTCCAATTAATAGCTGACAAAATGTGATGAAAGGCTAATTCACTAAATTGTTTATAAGTGTTATATTATAGGTCTAACTGTTTTTCAAATGGCTGCAAAAACATAGTAATCACTTTTATGAAATAAATACAAAAAAACTCCCAAAGCTGAGAGTTTGAGAAGGAATTTATTGAGTATTGAATTTATCAAAGTGGACTTTGCAGGTCTTTTAAAATTTGGTCATGCTGATTAGTTTACAACCTGGGTCAGACTGACTGTTTTACAATAATTTTAAACCTTTGAGAAACTCCACTGAGGGAGTTGCAACTTATATAATTATATGTGTCTTATCTTTTGTATTTCTGGTTTAAGAATTAAATGGTTTCCTACCTGGAAAAAAATCAATTAGGACTAAACTGTCTGAAACATTCTCCTTTGTTTTTTTCAGTGTCTGAGATGAGGCTCATTCTGATGGGGAACAACTGGTCTGACAAGAGTTCAGTCACAAATTTATTACTGGGTACAAATAAGTGCAACAGAGAGGAAGAACCAAACACCTCCATCACAGTCTCTGGAACAATTAGGACAACAAAAACAGTTGTAATAAACACTCCGGATCTGCTTTGCCCAATAATCTCTGAAGACAAACTTAAAGAACATGTGGAACATTGTGTGAGTCTCTGTGCTCCGGGACCTCATGTGTTTCTGTTGGTCGTTCAGCACAACATCACTAACCAACAAAAGAAGAGACTTTATAAGATCCTTGAACTCTTCAGCGATGAAGCATTTAACTATTCATTGGTACTGATCTCGACACCTGGATGGGAAACTTCAGCTACAAATTATCCGTCTCACCAGCGACCCCTGCAGGATCTCATCAAAATGTGTGGAGAGAACTGGGTCAGGCTGCAAAACAACCCTGAAGAGCTGCTGCTGAAACTGACTCAAATTTTGAGAATGAGCGCTGGGGACCATATTGTCTGTGGTCGTCCAAGCCTTGAACCCATTAAAGAAACTCATTCATATTTGGATTCTTCAAGCCATGGTATGTAAACACACATTAACACCGTAAAGCAAATACAAAAAGTGAATATTGAACAATTTGAGACTTTACAGCTGACATTCATTTTTATTTGTTTCTGATTTAACTTTCATTGGTTTGTTGCATGAAAAGCTGGATGAAATTCTGCAATATTGAAAATAGCAAAAAAATCTTGACTGAAACATGATTGTTTAATATTTCCAAGTAGGGTCGGCTTAGCAAAGTATTCAAGTATGTCTATACCGGTTTATCTGTAGTTATACAACCAGAATACATTTTGTAAAGTGTCCTTCACTGCTAACCAGTCCAGGTTGCAAAGTTGGAGAGATCAGTTGGGGAATTGCCAACTGACACAGCAGATGCTTCGGGGAATTGCCAAGAATTTTGGAATATGTGAAATTAAAGTATGTAGGAGGCATAACAGGTCCAAAGCTCAAACCAGTGTATTGGGTTATAAAGATGAAATGCTGGTAATCATTGAGGTGGATTAGATGAAAAGAATTGTACTTCAGCTAGCTAAGTACCCTACTTGTTGAACCAAGGCGTAGCATACACAAATATCCTAGCTGATGAAAAGTAAGGCTTGTGATTCAAACCTTGCATTCAAACAGTGTGCAAAACTTATGGCTTTGGATTTCACAAGAAAAGACACTAAAATAGAAAATATGCTTAGATATAAAATATTCTATCATCGAAAAAACTAGATATGAGAGGAAGGACGTTCTGAAACACACTGTCAGTATGAAGACAATCATGCAGTTATCAATCTTTCTCTACAATACACTGATATAGATAGAAATGTTTGACATGCACAAAAGGAATACTGTAATTCCTTAAACTCTAAAGTTACATCCCTAAACATACCAAGCAATTAGAACATCTTAAGACATCTAAACATGTGTCTCAAGACACTCGTGTCTCAAGGTGTCTTGGTAAGTCAAGATGTGTCTAAAGACATGGGTCTTATTTCTTGAAAATACCTGAGATCAAGCTACCTGTGTGTGCATGTGTGCTTGTATTTCATACATTGTGGTGACTATTTTCTGGAAAACAGCATGTTGTAGGGACTTACTGTGTTAGGATTAGGATTAAGGTGTTATTTGAATTTAGGTACGGTTTAGGGTTAAGTAAGGACCTCTTACGTTTATGTTTAAGTTTAGGATAAGGTTCACGGTTAGGCTGTAGAAATGGCTTAGAAATGAATGGAAGTCAATGGAAAGTCCCTGCAAGGATTTAAAACTTCAATAACACTATATAAGATTTTGCAGGAAATATAAGAAGGCAAATCATTATAATCATAAAACTATATTCATAAAAAAAAGCTTGACTATGTTTTTGAGAAGGGGATATAAAACAGTATCTTAAGCCATCTTATGACTTGAATGTCTTAAGACAAAAAATGTCTTGAGACACTCCTAGACACTCATCGTAGGGTGATATGACTTCAAATCAGTATCACGATAAAATGGGCACTTTTACCTCGATAATGATAAATGCACGATAAATGCTCCAGCTCCTCAATCAGAAATAAAGGCATGTGCAGGAATTGAAACTAATCTTTTCATGATTAATTAATTAAATAAATCATTACATATTACTTTTAATTAAATATTAAGTCTTGTACCCATTCAGATTTAGATTAAACAATTTCTAATGATACAGGAGAAAAATGTTTCCTCTCTTGCAAACATTTTTGCGCAAAGTTATTTGAGCCTTTTGCACGTTTTTCTAACTCAACAACAGTGTGGCTGTGCTGTAGGCGGTGGAGGTTGGATGTGTTACTTTGGGTAGTCCCCACAGTTTTCAGAAAAAACTTTGCATTTCACATTCTTTGGTCAACATCTATGGTGTAATTTCTGTGAACTGAGCGTACAGTGATAACAATTTGCACACCCTCGCTCAAAACTGGTCTGCCTAGCACCTTACCCTTAGTAGTAAAAAATTTGATGATGAAAATTAAATGTAAACTGTTTTCTTACAGAAGAACCAGAACAGTACAATGTTGAATGTGGTGCTGATGAAGATGGTAAGATTTTACTCTGTGAAAATTACAGAAATGATTAAAAATGCGGATTTATTACTTTCACAGCTGGATTATGACTTACAGTTTTTTTTTTTTTTTTTTTTTTTAGAAGATGATCTCAGATTCTTTCAGCGCATCAAAAGCACAGATTTTCTTCGTCCAAACTGTGAGTTGAACATTTTCATACAATTTTCTGTCTCAACATATTTGCAATTCTGAATTCACTTTTTACTATAATTTTACTGCTAAATAGACTGATTATTTATCTATGCTGCAGATTTTAGTCAGATGATTCAGACTGGAAAAAAAATTTTAGTATTCATTTCATAGGAAGAATAATAGAGACAAAATGAATTATCAGTGAAATCTTATTGAGCTATACAAATCTTGCTTAATTAACATAAATTTATTCATGATTAAATAAATCAAATCCTTAAATGAGGATATCTTTGTCCGTTTCTTTATCTAAACCACTCTCATCTTTCTCATCAATCATTCAGAATTCCTTCTTTCAGAAATCATTAGAACTAGCAGAATTACTACAGCATCAGTCTCTCTCCATTGGCTTCATGTTAATATATAACTGATTCTTATTTATGCATTTTATCTACTGATGTTTCTATGTAAAGAGAGAACAATAAAAGGCCACTCCAAGCAAAAAGGCTATTTACCTTGATTTAAAGCAACTTAGAGTTTTAGCACTTCTACAGTTTTCTAGGAATATGTTCCGCCTTAGAGAAAGACGAGAACTAAATGTTTGTTCTCCATACTAAGTTGATATACTGAGAAGTCCGTAATGTATTTTGGTCTTAAGCCATATAGTGATGTATGCCAAAATACATTTTCTGAGATTTGGGGAGCCAGTGGAAGGACTTTAAAAATAAAATGATGTGCTCTAGTAAATGGAAGATAAAAATAAGATGCTTGATTACTTTAGTTTACAAAGGTGGTCATAATGATAATTAAAAATTGGGACTTTTAAGTAATACTTACAAGAATGAGAACAATTCAAAATACCATAAAACCAGTCTCTCACTCCCCCCTCTTATGTTATAGAAAGAGATATTGCCAACTTTTCCACGTCCGCTGAAAGTCTCCTTAAAAAAAAGTTGAACAACAGAAGGGAGTTGAAATTCAGCCCAGGAGCCTACTTTGGAGAAGTCTTTAATTTTATCGGATGACAGATAAGATTGGAACAATGATTTTAATATAAACAATTTATCTACAGAATTAAGGTTATTTTCAAACAAATAAAATTATGTGCACAAGTGCTTCATGGTATAAATCTATTTGAATTTATTACATTCCACTAAGTAAACATGTAACATCAACACTTGGTCTACTGAGATCCTTCTTCTATGTCTTTGCCTCAGCTGATACAACCCATCCCTGTTCGTTATCCCTAAGCCTATAGAATTTTTATTCCAGAAAGGGTTCTAAGGGGTTGTTATGGTGTGGGACAGGATTCGCCGACCATCTCACTGTCTTCATCTCCAGGCCTGATGCTCTTCAACAGACAGGTGGACGACCTAGTAGCCTAGTAACTTCCTGTTGCCTGGATTTCACCAAAGCAAGCTACCCATTAATAGTTGGAATATTGGCCGGTAGTTTATAGTGACCATAACAGGTCCCTCAGATGTTGTTTAAGTTTTGGCTATAGGTACCCATTAAAACACCTCCTTATCATATTCAATAGAATCCACATATATATAGCTGTTCACACCATAGAACACTTTCAGAAGGTAGAGAATCAGAATCTGATTACTTGTAACAAATTACTTTTGTTACAAGCTCCAGATAAATGAACTTTTATATATAAATGTATGTATGTATATATATATATATATATATATATATATATATACAACAAACCACAAAAGATAATATAAACATAAATATATACACATGTAACTCTTCTATATATAAATATATATATATGTATATATATGCATATGTATAACTATAAATCCAAAGATAAGTGATAGTGACGTGCAAAAACAATGCAAGGAATGAATAAATGTCAATTACGGAGGGGGCGTGTCTGAATCACTTGAGGAAGGCATTGTAGAGATTGATGACCACAGGCAGGAATGAAATGTAGACCATGAGTAGGCTGAAGTATAATGACCTTTTATTAGCAAGCAACAGGCAGGAAATAACAGCACAATAGCAGCATATTCGAAATATAATATTAAAAATTAATAAAATTCTTCTTATCAAATCTCAAAATCCCTTTCAATTTAGTTTCTGCTTACCTGTCATATTAGGGATGGAAGGATGCTAAAACTTGGGGATTTTTTTGGAACTTGCTCAAAGCGTAACCTTCCTAATGTCGGTTTGTGGTAAAAACTGTTCTTCGAAAGGATTATTATCTTACCAGCAGCCCTGAGACACCACCTTCTTCTAGGGGTTTGGTGTGAGTGTTAAAGTCATCTGAGGCTGACAGCAAAATGCCATGCCGTCTCTCTCCAGGCAGGAACAGCTCCAATAAAAGATCGATTCCTTTTGCAACCTAGTTGCAACCAACAGCCATTAAATGGGATGATAACATCCAAAGCGGCTGTCCAACTCGAACTTTCCACCTTCCAGTCATTTTTTCTCCTTTCTTCTTGCATCTTTGCTTACTTTTTATTTTCTGTTTTTTTTTTTTTATATGTGAGGAGCTGTTTATATCCCCCCTCTTTAATGCACTGAACCTCCTGCAGCTGCAGGGGGCAATAAGCACCACTCCAGTTAGTGTTTCTTTCAGCAGGTGCAAAGCTGGCAGCAATGTTTCCTCCAAATAAGAGAATTATCTTCCCCCATCTGTTATACTTCAGCATTTTAAAGATAAATTATCTTCAAAATTAAGTCAAATACAACAGTTACATGACAAATTAAAATAGCTGCATAATGATTTCATGCCATGGGTGCAAAGTGGCTTGTTTAAAGATGGAAGTAGGAAGGAGAACTTTATACCATTATAAATGTATAATGAGAACATTTCACGCAGTTTGTATGATATATTTGTTCTGATTCCAAATAAATATGCTTATTCTTGTAGTTCATAGCCAGCAATCACAGACCCACCTGTCTGGTATTGAGAACAATGAACCAGTCGGAAGCATCAAAGCCATCGTGTCAATGCTGCAAGGTAAGACATCTGGATGGGTGAGTAGAATGATTTAATATGAGATATATTACTGCAGGCAAAATAAGTTGAACATGCCACCCTTTTTCCCCAGTAAATATATTTCTAGAGGTGCTATTGGCAAGACATTTTCATCAAATGTTAATTAAAAAAACTCCCAATTCACTCACATAAAGAAGTCAAACCATATTTGTCCAGAAGTTCAAAATTAGGTGAAAGTTCAAAATTACTTAAATGTATTTAATACTTTGTACAAAAGCCTTTAAGTAAGTAAGTAAGTAAGTAAACTTTATTTGTATATAAAGTTTGTTGGCAATGACAGCTTCAAGATGCCTCCTGTATGTAAAAATTTGTTGCTTCGATTGCTCAGGTTTGATTTTGGCCCATTTTTCAACACAAACAGTCTTCAAACCTTGAAGGTTTCGTTGGCATCTCCTATGAACTCTGATCTTTAGTTCTATCTATAGATTTTCTTTTGTTTTAAGTCATGTGGGTAGCTGGGCAATTCAAGCAGCTTTATTTTCTTTTTCTGAAACACATTGAGAGTTTCCTTGTCTGTGTGTTGAAGGTCATTGTCTTGCTGAAATGTCCCCCCACGTTTCATCTTCATCATCCTGGAAGATGGCAGCAGGTTTTTATCAAGAATGTCTCTGTACATTTTCCATTCATCCTTCCTTTAATTATTTGAAGTTTGCTAGAACCATATGCTGAAAAACAGCCCCACACCATGATGTTCCCACCTCCTAACTTCACTGTTGGTATGGTGTTTTTGAGGTGATGTGCAGTGCCATTTGACCTCCAATACGATGTATATACCAGACTATATTCTCCCTGTATTTCAAAGGTTTGTCTAAATGTTGTTCAGCAAACTTTAAATGAGATTTTACATGCTTTTTCTTCGTGTTGGAGTCTAGCATGGTGAGCGTGCATAAAGGCCATGGCAGTTGAGTGCTAATTCCAGGTCTGGCTCTCCACAAGTGGTACTGTATTTGGGTCTTTGAGAAACTCTTCTGATAGTTCTTAACTCCTGTCTCAGAAATCTTACGAGGAGCACCTGGTCTTGGTCAGTTTATGGTGAAATTGCATTCTTTCCACTTCAGGATTATTGCCCCAACTGTGCTCACTGGGAAATTCAGAAGTTTAATTATCCTTCTGAAACCAATGGCATAAAAACATTGCAAAGCTCTTGAGAAAGCTCTTTACTTTTATGCATCATGAGATGTTTTTTGGGCTTTACAGAGACACCTCTTTATAGGAAGTCATTTTGGACTGAACCAGCTGACATTAATTTGCTGACAATGGGCAGGATTTTTTTCTGATTACTGAGCGATATTGGCTGGTGTTTTGGCTTTCCATGTCTTTTTGCTCCTCCCTTTCTTCAGGTGTTCAATATTTTGTCCATGGTTTTATGGTTTGATTTTTTTGTACGTGTGGATTCATACCGACATCTGGTGAAAATGTCATGTCAATAGCACATCTAGAAATATAGTTACTGAGAAAAATTGTGACCTTTTCAATACTTATTTTACCTGCTGTATTTAAGATGAAAATATACCCGCACTAAGGGAAGGGATTGAGGGTAATAGGGTTAGGTGATCAAAGGGGGGGAAAAAGTTTGTTGCAGTAACACCTTAAGACACTTTTTTGGTTTTGCAGAATCTGAGCTAAAGTTGCAGCAACCAGCCAAGCTTAACTTTGGGGCCAACCAGAAGCCAGAACCAGGAAGCAACATTAAAATCATACAGTCAAAATGGGAAGGTGAGATTTCTCAATTAGTAGGCCTAAAGATAGTGGTAAATGGCTGATACTTATACAGTGCTTTTCAAGTCAGGAGACTTGACCAAAGCGCTTAACACTTCATCAAGTCATTGACCCTGTCTGACACACACTGATGGTGCCAGACTACATTGTAGCCACAGCTGCCCTGGGGCTCACTGACAGAAGCATGAGCTTCTATATGATATAAAAACATTGTCTAATTGTTCAATAGTCCAAGAGACTATTGTGATTTTTGGTTTATTTGGTCTGAAAACTTTCTCAAATTAATATAAAAAGGCTGATATTTTAGTTTGCCTTTAGAAACAGAGATAGAATAAAGTAATGTGCAACCTGAGAAAATAAACCGGTCAGATATCATCATGCAGGCAGTCATCAACCTAAGACTCTTCCTTATTAGATTCCTTATTCCTTAGATTCCTCATTTTGTGTATTTGCAAAGTCCTAATGAAGGGTTGGTTACCACCTTACTGACAGGTACAAGGATAACTAATCTATAAAGACTTTTTGATAGAAATTCTAATGAAAAGAACAGCAGTTGAGTGAAGGAGAGAATAAACCTGAAAACATGTAGTTCAATCCCACTGAACTCATTCGGGGCGTTCTCATTAAAACACAAAAAATAATCAGACGTTTATTAGTAATTGGAATAAAAAGTCTGAACGAACAAAAATGTGACATATTAACATGCTAATCATAATATTTTGAGAAGAGCTGGTCAGGGTATTTAGCATGTCAGGGCAGAAAAACCTTATGTTGATGTTTGGTGCACATGCTCACCCAGTTAATCTTGATCCTATTAAACCTTTATGCATCCTGATCGGACTGTTAACCAGCAAATACCACCCTTCCAGTTTGATTTCAATTGCATTCTGATCATCAGAATAATCTAACTCACATATTTAATCTGATCATCCATTTATTCTTATTATTTATGTCTATGTAAATGTGGCTAGTGATCAAAATATCTAAATTACATAACTTATTGAATTGATACTACCGGTATATATATGTGAAGTTTTATTTTTATACAAATAACACAGATAACTTTGTCTATATAATCTTAAGGTATCAATATTATAATCAATGCAGGAATAAAATTGGGCAGAAATACTCAACAGGCCCCTGAATGATTGTCAGAGTATAACATCTGCCTTAAGTTTGGCTTCTAGGCTCTTAAAATTGAAAGTGCCATGACATTCAATCTGTGAGAATTCAATTTGCTGTATAAAGTAGAACCATTGATCTTTGAGCGGACACAGTAGTTTCCAGAAATAAACACTCACAAGACTCAAAGTCCTTTATATACCTGGTAGATTAGATTTCACTTTAATGTCTTTCAGTCTTATGACTGAAAGGGTTATAATGTTTAACAGCAGGCCAGCCTGACTCCTGACTTGCATCAGAGAGAAAATCTTTGGAGAGATTTAGAGAATAGGGTGATCTCAGGGTAGACACATAATATAAATTTATTTGAAAATGTAGTTATCATTTAATGCAATGTATTCATTATTATGTCTTTTTTTATACTGCACATAATTGGAAGTAAAAGTGCAAAGATGATATAAAACCATTTTTGTGCTCTCCTAGCCTCTCACCAGCAGCTGCCACCACAAATTCAGCTTTCTGTCCAGGAGAACAAGAAACCACAACCAGGCAGGCAGAATCCCTTCATGTCAAAGTTCGAAGGTAAGATTTTTTAATTATCTTTTGAAAACTACCCACATAATTATACAATCAATTAGGAGGATTAATTACTCTTGTTTAGCTGTACATTTCTTTCTGTTACCAGATGTATCTCTATATTTTTAGAAGGAGGAAATAATATATTGTTTTAATCAAAATGATATTCTCTTTCTGTGCAATTGGACAATCCGTTACTGAGGAACTACAGGCCAATTTTAAATCTCCAATTCATCAGTAGTACTATTAGAAAATCAACCATTTCAAAGGCGCCCATTCAGGTTTCTGTGCTCACTACAGTTCAAGGACAGCTCTTCTCATGGTGTTCAATGACATCACTATAAATGACTGTGAACCACAGTGCTGCTATTAGTGGCCCATAGTTCAGTATTCACACTGCTGATCAGTGCAGTTTATTAGAGGGCCTGGAGAACCGGGTCAGCCTTTCTGATACAGTATTGGACTGGTTTATATCCTACCTGATGGACAGGGACTTTTCTGGGTCTTTGCATCAGAGACCACAAAGGTTACATGTGGTGTTTCCTTAGGGTCTTTTTTTGGGCCTCTCCTGTTCAGTATTTACATGACCCCCTTGACTCCGATTATAATTAACAATTAAATTATTTATCATAACAATGCAGACAACATCCAGCTCTACATTACAATGTCACCAGGTCACATTTATGTGCTGATTAAAAACAGTGAAGAAATATATGCTTTGATATTTCAAAATTTTCTAAACCTGAATTAAATTGAACCTAAAAAACAATATTAGGACCAAAAAAAAAAAAGCTTAAAAGACACAGCCTTAGTCATTAGGGTGAGAAACCACTGATGATGCTCGAAATCTGGGTGTAGTAAAGACTCTGTCATAAAACTTTGGAACAGCTTAAAGACAATCACAAGGTCGTCCCGCTATCCGCCTCCATAAACCAAATCAGCAATATTAGGTAGCTGTTACAATAACAAGATAATTCATTTATTTACAATGATAAAAAAGGATCAGCAGATAGGGGATACATTAAGCCAAGGTGTGTCTCTGCTTTAGTTTTGTTTGAAACCACCTCAATGAGAGAAGTTACTTACGATGGACAGAGTAGCAAAACATTTTACTCAAATAAGATTAGTGATACTTTATCATATTTGTACTCTAGTTAAAGTAAAATGCTGTAAAACTAGTTACATTTACTACCAAGTTAATGTAACAGTTTAAAATTAACCACTTACTACCCACCTCTGTAGCCTATTTACTCTTTTAGAGAGAAAAATAAATCTCTAATTCATGTTATATCAGATCTGACTGGGATTGGTGCTTCAACTGTAATTTCCCTCTGGGATTATTAAAGAATGTCTTATTCTGATTCTGAGGTAAACTGTAAAGTACGAGGACAGACGTAAGCATTGTACAATTAAATTACCGAGGAGCATTAATGAAAAGAACAGGACATTTTCAACAGCTGAACAACACTGCCAAAAGTCACGGCCGGCGTTGTGAGTAGCATCACCACCATCATTGTCTAAGCACAGTTTACTCAAATTAAGCAGGGCAACAACAACTGTTTTACTTTGCGACTCCAACGAAATAAAAAAGGGAAACAGTTACTTACAAGATAGATCAAATAAATTTCAAATGAATTACAGAAGGGTTTTAAATAAAAACCAGTCGTCGGCCACAATCCAAACTGGATGTTAGGGTCGATTGTTTGACGACCTGGAAGTGGGGTTGAGGGAGTCTCAGGAGAACAGGTTTTAAGTAAAAGATCACAAAAAAATATGATTGTTTTTTGTTTCTCATCGATAATTTTTGAAAAAGTACAGTTTAACAGACAGTGAAGAGATTCTTACTTAACATTAGAATAAATGCACTGCCCTAGGACATTTGATATTTGAACATTATATTGCATACTGACCTCTTTTAGACATTAATACTTTTGCATTGAGATGGTAATATAAGGAGACCCTCAGAGATCATCTGTGCAGTTTAAATTTTTATTTTTAAATGGTATTTTGGGGAAGAGAGACTCCTTTATTACAAGTCTTCCTCCATGGATACAGGACCTCTATGCCCTCCCCTGTGCCATCCCCAGATCAAGGGAGAGCACAGTAAAGTCCCACCTGGTGAGATGGTCCCAAAAAGAAACCCCGTTGTCAGTACACAAATCCCAGAATAACATGCCAATGTTATCATTGGCACCACAAGGTCGTAGACAGGGGTTGCCACGGGCACCCTGTGCAAAGCCCTAGCCCACCCCACTGGCCACCCCACTCGCCATTGTAAATTGTACTACCATCAGTTTAACATTTCATCCCATTATGCACAGCCAACGACATAATATTAAAAATCATACAATAAACCAAGATATGAGTCGGTGTTTACTCAAGTCTTTATGATTTCTACAGGCAGGTTTACCACAAGAGTAGACTAAAACCTTGATTTATGGCTTTTAGATTTAGTGGCCACCCCAAGAATTTTGGAGGAGCTGTTGACCACCATGACCAAAGACCCTGTTGCAGTGGAGTTATCACCAACTCCCACATTTCTTTTCAACCATTAAACAGCAATGACACAGTTTAGGGAGGCTAAACCAAAAATAAATAAAACCACAACTGTACCTGTTTATCAGTAAAGTTGATGAATTGCGCTGTGACAGCATACTAGTAATGTAGGCTGTAAGTTATGAACGAGTGCCTTACAAAACCCCAGCTGCAGCGCCACCTGAAGGTGTTTTTTGTTCTGTAGTGTCTGAGCAGCAGCAGCAGCCTGAAGTTCCGGTGTCTGTCAGTGACGATGAAGACAGAGAAATTAACGGAAGCTGGGAAATGTTCATGTCATCATTAGAAGGTATGATTTCTACAGTTGTTAATATCCTGATTAAGTTTATAGACAATATGGTGCAAAGCTTTTCCCTCTTTATTGTATTAAAGAGTCAATATTCTAAAAAGATCATGGAAACAGTGAATCTCTGTCGTTTGACAATTATTGTGTTTTTATATAAAACTATATATTCCCATTGATAACAATGGCTCCCTTGGTTAAATTCCACATGCTTATGATATACAGCAACATAACAAAATTTACACTGTAAAAGCAAAATATACAGTATTTTTACCTTAACTTCATAGAGTAAAAGTCACATATTTCAAAGATTAATTACAAATAGCACAAGATATTTTAAACCTTTATTTCCTGTCATTTTGATGAGTTTGAATTAATTATACTAAATACCTAAAATTCAGATTTCATTTGATATGTTATTTGCACCCAGTGTAGTAACAGAAGCAACAACTGTGGTTTTCTGTGAGTGAGGAGATATGTTTAGTTTTTTTCTTTCCCTGTTTTTGGCGACCACAGAGGTACTATCAGTTGTATGTTTGGACCATTGTTTATTTATTAACTAGATTAATATTTGGTTGAACTAAACATGTTTTATTCTTCTGCAAAAGATTTTGAGAAATATTCACAAAAAATAAATATTAAGTTAATGCAGGAATTTACTGTCTTTTGCTAGGACTATCAACACTTTTCATTGAATTATGGATCAAGATTTAATTTATGAATTTGTGAAAATTAAAGTTGTCTAGAATCATCTGATGGGTTCATTTCCTTGTAGATTATAGGCAAAGAGAAAAATAACTTGAAAATAGATCATATGATCGCTGGTGAAAATTCTCAGTCATTGAGGTCATATTCATTCCAAAAAAGTAAAACAAAAAAAGAATTGAACTTTGTTTTCAGGTTTGAAGATGTTTCTTTTCCCATCCAGGAAGCTTTTTCAATCCAAAATGTCAGAAATAGCGTTGAGTTCCAGGTTTTATCCAGCAGCCCAACAAAGCCTGGTTTTTGTTTAGAAAACATGCAAACTGAACTGGACAAACAGCTCCACCTCTTTGGAATGGAGGTCATTTTGGCTTCCTATGATTCCTTCCTAACTTAAAGAGGGCATGAAGGAAGCCATCTATGTTAAGAAAGAATAACCAAGCTTAACTTTTCCCTTTAATGACCCCCCTTTCAGAGACCCGTCTGTCACATTCAGTTTGCATGTTTCTAACAAAAACAAGGTTTTGTTTTTGGTCCAATCTATAAAGCCTTGAACTAAATGCTTTTTCTGAAATTTAAATTGGAAAAGTTTCCTGGATGGGAAGCGAAATGTCTTCAGACTTTAACACAAAGTCCAAAGGATTGTTTTGTAACTTTTTTGGTAGGAACATATTATCCAATTTCTTTCTTTCTCTGCATACTTTAAATTTCCTGTCATTGTTTTCACAGGCGATGAACCAAACCCAGACGATATCAGAATTGTTCTGATAGGGAAGACTGGCAATGGGAAAAGCTCATCAGGAAACACCATTTTAGGAAGAAAANAATATATGTTATCATTTATTAAGATTAATTTAACAAAATGACATGTAACTTTTAGTAAGATTATTAAGTTGTACTTTTTTAGATTTCCTGTCATTCTTTTCACAGGCGTAGAACCGAATCCAGACGATATCAGAATTGTTCTGATAGGGAAGACTGGCAATGGGAAAAGCTCATCAGGAAACACCATTTTAGGAAGAAAAGAGTTTGACGCCAAATCAAGTCAAAACTCAGTTACAAAGCAATGCCTGAAGGAAAAGACTCAAGTAGACGGCCGCTCAGTTTTTGTTGTCGACACACCTGGTCTTTTTGACAACAGTTTGAGCCATGAAGAGATTAAGCATGAGTTGATGGGGTGTGTTAATTTTGTTGCTCCAGGACCACATGTCTTCCTGCTGGTTATACGGATCGGTAGATTTACACCAGAGGACAAAGAGACACTAGAAATGATCAAGAAAATCTTTGGGAAGAATTCAGAAAAGTTCACCATCGTTCTTTTAACTGGAGGAGAGTTATTGGAGCAAGATGGCCTCACCATTGAAGAATACATTAGACAGGAATGTGGAGATCCTTTCAAGCAGCTGGTTGCTGACTGTGGAGGAAGATACCATGTTTTTAAAAATCAGGATGTAGAAAACCGTACTCAGGTCAGAGAGCTGATCAGAAAGATTGACACAGTGGTGAAGGAAAATGGAGGAAAGTGTTTCACCAATGAGATGCTGCAAGAGGCGGAGGCTGCCATACAGAAGAACATGAAGATTATTGCAAATGAAACAAGTCACGAAATAAAGATAATGGTGGAGGAACTTGAAAGAAAACTTGCAGCTGAAAAACAGATCTGGAAAATAAAGCCTGGAACGGCTAAAACAGAAAATCTGCGACACGGAACATTACAGCAGGACGTGAAGAAAAAGATCAAGAACGAACATGAGCAAAAAAAGAAAGAGCAGAAATGTAGAGAGGAAGAAGAGAAAATGAGGGAAGAAATAAAAAAGACGAAGAATGAGTTGGTAACAGTGGAGAAAAATATACAATCAGGATTAAAAGGTCCAGTTGCTGAACGGGCCTTTGAGATAAAAAGACGAGAACTGGAAGGAAAACTAATCCTGATGGAGAAAGAACAGCGAGAGTCTTTGGAGAAGAAACGCAGGGAAGACAAACAGAGAAATCAGAGAAAGGAGAGTGAAACGAATAATCTCACAGGGATTGAAGAAACAATTCGAAGAGAACTGGAGGAAGAGTATCAGAAAAAACTGGACAACATGAAAAAGAAATACATGGAGGAAGTTAGAAAAAAAGCAGAATTGAGAGGAATTATCAAATCCTTGGATCCTGTGCTACCGCTCCTTAAACACGTTGACAAAACATGCAAAGTCATGTAATAATTAAACACTATGTAAAATCTGTATTATAAAATTTTACATAAAAAAGACAGTAAATAAAAATAAGAGAAAACATAATCTCAATTCAATTTCAGTTCAGTTTATTTTTATACTGCCAATTTACAACACATGTAATCTTACTGCACTTTACAGATTCAATACTGTCAGATTAAATTAAATGTTTCTTTGAAGGAAAACCAGTTGATCCATAAAATCCTGAAAGTTTAGCTTCATGTTTGTTACCGACTGTTTCAGGGGAGTGTTCATCATTCTTCATCAAACATCTCAGACTCAAATCTGTGAAAAGTTGATCAGATGATAAATGATGATAAATGTGACTTTATTTCTTGTTCATAATATTCAAAATTGTTGAGTTAAAAACAGAAAAACTAAACTAAACTTGAACTAAAACACATAACACTGCTTATATCTATCAAACTCTTATAATTGCATTTTTAAAATGTGAAAAATAAAGACACTTGTGAGCATGTGGTAAATTAATTATCTCATTATTTTAAAGCCTTTTATCTGTATTTGTCCTCACTGAAGGACAGTGAGCCAAAAAGCTGCACCCTGTGAGAGATAACTGTGATTTGAGTTCTCTCCCTCTGAAACTGTGAAAAATGGGTCTGAAATAGACCTGCAGGGTGAATCATTTTTATCGCTGAGTCAGTGAAGAGTCCAGAGGTGGAAAAGACAAGAAAGAAGGACCAGCAGATTCACAGAGCCAAGAGTCATTACCTAATAAAGTCTAATTCTGTTATACAATGTCGTTTTGTTTTCACCTTAATGTCCTTTCATCTGATTTCTGAACTGCCCCTTGTTCAGAAGAGGAGTAAAAATAACTTTTACATTACAATTACATATATCAGTACATTTTCAACAGAATGTGTCTGAGAATAAATAATTGTAGAACAGTATTTTCTAATTTTAATCCTCGAGGTACACTGCCCTGCATGCCTCTCTGCTTCAATAAAGCCCAATAATCTATCAATTGATATCAGGTGTTTGAAAGCCAGGAAATATCCAAGACATGCAGCACCATGTGCTCTAAGGACCAGGGTTGAAAAACACTGTTGTAAAAGTTTTTCATTTCCTTCATTGAGGTGCAGATTTTATTTTATTTTTTTGTGAATATGAGAAAGAAATGTTCTTGCTACATGTGGGGCTAATAAAAATATGTATATATATTTTACCACACATTGTGCCTGAGCTGTAATTCAGAGGTCTAGGTTATTTAAATAGGACCAAATCACAATAGATGTTTTTTCGAAGCACTTCGAAAACCAAAGTTTGCACAGAAATATCTCGTCAATTTAACCAAGCATTCAAAGTAATTTTTATACAATAAAACGTCTTTTTAGTTCTCAACAATATATAATCAAGTGTTGAAATAATCTTTTCATAAAAAATGTGCTAAACCACAAAATACCCAGGGTGTTAAATATAAACTTTTATAACACATTAATCATAGCTTTTCACACCCAGAGTAATAACATAGGAACACTACAGTTTTTTTGGTTGTTGTTCGTTTTTATGTCATCGCCATGAGGAGTAGAGTGTATCGCAACAAAGCAAATCCACAGTGCAGAGACATGTTTTGTGAGGGTGAAAGTGATAATGATTGTGTAAGGTCACAACGTTAAGATAAAATAATGGGAGGATTAAAAAAATAGTACTTCCTTGTCTCAAGGTCCAAGCAACTATATACACCTATAGGGATTGGACACCAATCCTTAGACTACCATTTGACATTAAAATAGTCAAAATAAGTTTTTTTTCTGAAGGGCCAGTAGATTGTATTTTATCCAGCTGCTTGTCTCCACCATTTAGGAGAAAAACATGGAAAACAGATCAATAAAAAGTAAGATATAAAATCTGCAGGATAAATGACAAGAAAATGACGGCAATAGTTCCTTTAATTGCTTTAAGAGAGAGAGAGAGAGAGGGGTGTACAGAATGCTTGGCTAGATGTAGCTTTTACAAAGACGAAAATACTGATTATAACAAATTATAGGGTCATTAATAACTTTATCTGAGAAAATCCATCAAAATTACAAATGTAACATGTCAAAACGTAGAAAACACAGAGACAGAAAGACACACAATCATGCACAAACACACTGACACCTATGGACAATTTAGAGAAGCCAATTAACCTAACAGTCATGTTTTTAGACTGTGGGAGGAAGCTTGGAGTACCCTTACAAAGTCCATTCATAAAGACCGACCGGGAATCAAATGCGGAACCTTCTTGCTGCAAGGCAACAGCGCTACCCACTGCTCCTCCGTGCAGCCCACCCCAAAACATTATATAATTATATATTAAGGTTCAGTCATGTCTGAAAAAAGGCAACAAAGAAGTGAAAACTCATTTAGTTCAGTCAGGTTTATTCAATGATGATGATAAAATTAATGTGTGCTTATGAAACATTTTTGCAAGGGGATGCTCCACTCCTGTCTCATGATTCAGTCAGGAGACCATCCTGCCTTGTCATTCTGATGGAGCATCCTGTCTTTATGAACTGATCAATTGTTCTGTCAGAACAAATACTGTTTTGTAACCATGTGTTATGTTCTGTTAATAAAAGACGGCTGCAGGAGGGGATTCGGAGAAGGAAAGCTTGAAGTTGGGTTGGGCTTTTTCTTTCTGCTCCTGCAGAAGCTGCTTGAATCTATTTCCTGTGTAGACTCAATTTCAATTTATTTGCAAACCTACATTTTCTGAATCCAACAAGTTCATATAAATCCAAAGTCAATAAAGTGATCAAATTAATTTATGTACAACAAGTTTCCGAGCCAGAACTAAGGGAGACGCCGTGCTGAGAACGGTAATGTATTCTTCTTCATAATGAATTCTTTATGGTACGCCAGTATTTTTAACAAAGGCGAATCACTGTCTCCCAGACATCTGCGGTTATATTTTTTATATTTATAAGTTTTAAAAACAAAGCAGAGTGTGTATGACATCATCTGTGTGCGCCGGCTACCATTCATTCATCCTGTCCACTGAACTGCTGCTAATTTTTCTCACATGCCTGGAAGATGTCTAGTGCTACTACCACAGATGATCTCGCTCTCCAAATGGAATTGAACGATTCAGATTAGCTCGCCAAATTAGTAGAAGGGTTAGAGCGTAGCCGCCTGTGGCCCGGGCTGCCTTTCACAACTTCAGTCCAGCGCACGGATGACATCATACACACTTCGCTTTGTTTTTAAAAACTATAAATATAAAAAATATAACCGCAGATGCCTGGGGGACAGTGATTCGCCTACATGTTATGAATGCTGGTGTACCATAAAGAATAAATTATGAACAGTTTGTGTCTTCAAGTCGTTGCCCATAGGAAGATGTTACTTGGATATAACCTATAACGGAATATCTTCAGAACAGCTCCAAATGACACAAAACTCATATGGGTGAGTAGAACATAATGTAATAATGTAAAATCAAGGGCCCAATGTTAAAAAACGGCATTCCCCTTTAAGATTCACTTTAGGTTAAATAAAAAACTTGAAAAATATATTTTTTGTAAGTAACAGGACTATAAAATAAATGGGGTCTGCTTTCTTAAATGCTGGATTGAATCTATATTCATTTAAGTTATTTACCTTGTTGTAAAGTAAATTGCCACGAGCACATGTAGAGAACACATGTAGCGGACAGTCAATAGCTCAACACCAGAGTGTTTGCCAGTTTTGGGTACTCTAGCCAAGCTGAGTTCAACTTAGTCTTTGGTTTCTCTGAGTCTAACATTTTGTCTTTTGCCTTTCGGCAGGAATTCATCCTGCATATTGGCTGTTTGGCCTTCTCCCCCGGAAGGATTGTTTGAGTTTCACACTGAGCAGGGGATTAATCTCCATACATCCCGTTCAAGTTCTCCTGGAAATCTAAGTGGCAGTCCGCTCCATTGCTCCTCAGGAACCAACCAAACCAAAACCTGTCTGCCCTCCAATGAGCCCCTCAATCTCTGGAAAAACCTACACTGACTGGATTCTGGGAAGAAACCTTTCTCTGCAAAAGTGAGTCTCGTTTGTCTCTGTTTTTGCAAGACGTCGTTCAAAGTTCCCACGGACCCTGAACTAACCCCTGTGAACTTCCCTTCTCACTTTCAGTTCCGGCTCACCAGCTCTCTGAGCTCCCCTGAATCCAACCCAACTGTACTCCTCAATAAACCTGTTAAACTTTTACTCTGGTTTCTCTGAGTGGTTTTCTGTATGTGGGTCAGATCTCTTAAAAACATCATGACATGGACAATAATGGTGGATAAAGTGAGCAGCTCTCATTTACTTCAATAAAGTTTTCTTTTCCTTTCGTCTCCCAGGTGTTTTTGAATTTCCCAGTGTACGACTGAGCTTTTCAAATAATATAAATAGCTCAGCTTAGTTATTTGAGGCGTCATGTAAGTTAAACATTGACCAAGCTCAGCTTCCTTCCTGCCATGCTGACAGATGGAGCAGAATTGTATTGAAGAGCAGAGATCATCAACAGGCAGGGAAAAACAGTAAAGCAACTGCTTCACATGTAAGGTAAGTGAATTCAACTGTAACAAAATAAAATATTAAAAAACACTATAGTAAGCCTCAAATTCAATCTTATCTTTTTTTGTAATTTGATTGAATCTTTCGTTAAAAAGACATGCAGATTGGACTTTGTTAACTGATTCCTCTGTTTTCAAGCACTTTTGAATGTTTATATTCAGTTATGTGTATTTAAATGACTACTTTGATACTTTTAATTGTTTACTAGATTTTATTTTATCTCAATAACTTTATTTAGCTTTTATGCTTTCATGTACTTTTGTCTTTAAAGGATTATATTGATCCTGTTACAAAGAACAGAGTCTTATCTCTAAACATCCTAAAACATCTAATATTTTTGCCTTTTTTTTGGGTGACGGCTTCTGATCTCAGATTCTAACAAAGTATCATCATGGCTTCTGCATCCCGTAAGTTCATTTACAGATAATAATGAATAAGCTGCCTCGGATAATAACAATGATGATTGTTTTACATGACAGTTTTCAGAATTTTTTTTGTGTTGACAGTTTTTTTAGATTTTGCATCCTGATTAGTTTCAATGTCTCAAAGTTACCTTTCTAGGACTATTTTTTTGGCCTCTGTTGAACCAGATTCTTCCCAGCAGGAACTGCTGATATGTGTTCACGCCCTGCACTATAACTATGATTAAATCATATGGTTTATATTGGAGTCAACACTGGTTTCACCCATGGTGGTTGTAACAGATTAACAGTTTTATTGTTTAGCGGAAATACATTCGTAGACCCAAACTTTGCCCTGCAGAGGTGATATAAAGCCAATTTACAGACTGAAAGACAAGTAACTATGGGAATGCAGCAGAAGATGCATTTTGAGTTGTTTTTAAATCAAATCCTCCACCCACCCCACACCCCAACCCGCACACACACCCACCAGAAGAACAAACAAAAAATAATTATGTCTGTAATGAGTTATAATGTGTATTTACATTAAATTTTTAGCTAAGTTTAAGTTACAAACACCTTAATAATGTCTTTGTGAAGTTATTACTCATGTTTCCATCTTTTCATCAAATTATTTGCCTCTTATTGTCAAATATTCTGCTTCTTTTTGCAGCCACTAAACCTAAGCTGTCTCGGAGTAGCAGCATTGCCTTCCGTCCCCCTCAAAGTAAGATGCACAGTAAACCTTTTTTGACTTTTCTCTTTAGAATTATATATATATATATATATATATATATATATATATATATATATATATATATATATATATATATATATATATATATATATATATATATATATATATATAGAATTATTAATGAAAATGTATAGTAGAGAGAATAAAATGAATAAGTAAAATATGGGATGTTTATATAGACAGTAAAACAATCATTATTAAATCTGACCTCTGCCATCTAAATTATTTTGTTCTCTTTAAATCACACCTAAAATCTCACCTGTTCAAACTCGCCTATAAACTGACATCAATCACTTCTTCTGTTACACAGCTGCACTTTGACTAAAAGATTAAATTGAACTTTTTTGAGCTCACAATTGAGAAATTAACTCTCTACATTTAACCCACTGCCACTGTTTACCACCTGGGGAGCAATCAGGGGCTAAGGTTCTTGATCAGAGAGCCAGAGTGGCAGTCTGTGGGAGTGGGTTTGTAACTCACAACCTAAGGATACCAAACCCTTTACCCGAACAACTAGGTCCCCAACCCTGTTTTCTCTTAAATCATTTTTAACTCTTTTTTTCTTTTCCCTTCATGAGTATTTTTATTGCAATCTCACTATTGGTGTTGTCCTCCTTTACTTTCTTACAGTGTTCTTGGATTTCTGGAAATGTGCTTTAATAAAAATGTTTTATCATTAACAAAATAAGAAAAGTTAGTCTACAAACTTTAACTAAAATGTTTAGATAGCACAGTGAAAGCAAACTCAAGGCAACAAATACATTTTTAATTACCATTGGAAGCAGTGAGTTGGTTTTTAATTTAAAGGAGGATAAAAACTAAAAACTGCATCTCTATATTGGTTCTGGTTCTGTTCGTGCAGAATAGACATGTGCTGTAAGACCTGAGAGTTCTGTGCATTTGACGCACTGAAATAAAATTTGTTGTGATTTTTGGTGTGTGAATTATAAACAAACAGAAGTCTATTCTCTGACATACTGGAAGCCAGAGTGATGACTTTAGAACTAGGATGATGTGCTCCAGTTTCTTAGTTTTAGGGAGAATTTTTGGATCAGCTGCAGCAATCTGATCAAAGGCAGACCTGTGAAGATGAAGCTGCAGTGATCAATTCTACTAAATATTAAGACATTAATTATTTTTTCAAGATCCTGATGAGAAATTAGCCCTTTAATCTTGATCAATTTCTACAAGTGATAGAACGCTGAATTTGTTCCTGTATTTAAGCGGCTCCAAAGGTTCAGGTCCGACCTCCATCAAAGCACCCACATATGGATTCCTAGAGTTTAACGTTAATGACTGAAACTTTGTTCACACTTTTAAACCCTTTTCTTTTGGTCCAAAAATATTACCTGAGTAGATTTATGCATCTCCTAGATTACAATTTTTACGCATTGACTTGGTGCTTGAATGGGTTCTTAGTTATATGTAAATTATTGTAATAATAAAGGTTTTTGTAATCTAAATATTTATGGTCATTTGGGTCATTGTGTAATGTAGTCTGAGTTAGGGGAACCATATTGAATAGAAGAGGCCCTAAGATTTACCCTTGGGGGATGCCACAATTCAAACATGATTTTTGGTCTCTGATGTAAACAAAGTAAGTGAAACAAAGAAATCCCTTTCCTTCAAATAGGATTTAAAAATTTGTTTGATCAGCAGGGTTAAAAACTGCTTCAGGGTCCAATCAAAAAACAGGCTTAATTTGGAGGGCAACTGTACCACTGCTCAAGTTTTTGAAGATGTTTCGACACCTACTGTATCCAGGAATCTTTGTCAATCTGGATGACTGAGAATCTACAAAGGCATTAAGGTCCACTAAAAGTAGGACTCTGGTTCTTCCCCAGTCTGTCTTATATGGACGTCATTGAACTTGATAAGACCAGTCTCTGTTCTGTTGTAATAATTGAAGCCAGACCGGGGAAAATCAAAGTGGCTAATCATTGTTAGGAAGGCAATAAGCTGTTGAAATGCAGCTTTTTTAAAATGTATTAATGATGAACATGAGGTTTGTCATTTGACTGTAGTTCTACAGTAGCAGCTTGTCCATATTACAAGTCTTAACAGGGTTTTACTTGCTGCTTTTATGGCCTGGGGAAAACATCTGGGGTAAATCATGTTATGAAAGGCATAATGATGTTGGAAAAACACTGAGAAAGCATGAAGCAGAGCTTAGATGGTGTAAATTATTTAGTAATTTGTTTATGAGGAGCATTTATCTGTTAAAAAATAACTCTTTCCTTTGTTTTTTCAGTGTCTGAGATGCGGCTTATTCTGCTGGGCAACAACTGGTCTGACAAGAGTTCAGTTGCTAATTTATTATTGGGTCCAAATATGTGCAACAAAACTGAAGATCCAAAGACCTCCAGCAAAATTTTGGGAAGGATTAAGACAACAAAAACTGTTCTGATAAACACTCCGAATCTGCTTAATCCATCAATCTCTGAAGACAAACTTAAAGGACATGTGGAACATTGTGTGAGTCTCTGTGCTCCAGGACCTCATGTGTTTCTGTTGGTTGTTCAGCACAACATCACTGACCAACAAAAGAAGAGACTTTGTAAGATCCTTGAACTCTTCAGCGATGAAGCGTTTAAGTGTTCATTGGTACTTATCTCGACACCTGGATGGGAAACTTCAGCTACAAATTACCCATCTCACCAGCGACCCCTGCAGGATCTGATCACAACGTGTGGAGAGAACTGGATCAGGCTGCAAAACAACCCTGAAGAGCTGCTGCTGAAACTGACTCTCATTTTGAGAAAGAGCGATGGAGACCATGTTGTCTGTGGTCGTCCAAGACTTGAACCCATTAAAGAAACTCATTCACATTTGGATTCTTCAAGCCATGGTATGTAAACACACATTAAATTTAAAAACATATTCAGAAGGTTTATCTGCAAACAGTTGTGACTATGCAGCCCAATACTTATGATAAATTCAGACCGAATTTGATGCCACGGTGATTTCCGCAAGCCCAGTGGGAAGATCACCACTCTGCATTTTAGATGCAGTGTTTAAACACTGGACCACATCATCAAGTAGGAGGAGCTTCAGCTGCATGAGGCTGACAGCCCACATGAAAAAAAACGCAACACTAGACTGAATAGTTAGTGCTTCATTAGTGCAGGTTTGCGCATTTGAAATCATTTGAAATTTATCGTTTGTAAAAAAAAAAAAATCACGTGTTATACTGTTGCTTCAGAGATATTAAATCATTTGACTTAATATTATTTTGAGATCAATAAAGTTCAATTTATAAACTTTTTATTTATTATTTTATTGTAATAGATATATATTAAGGTTAACCACAATTATTTTGTAAAGAAAAAATTATGCACAAACTAATACTGTTCTGCTTCTCCTAACTTTTCCTGAATGAATTCTTTCCATACAACGTGCATTTATAACAGTTGCATACCCTGCATGAGCACAGCCACATAAACACCCTTATACACAACACTATTATTTTGTTTTCAGAATGACTGTTTTTGACTAGAACTATGTTGGCTGTTGATCTTTGCTGGCTGATTTGTGATGCCTGATTTACCTGATTGGGTTAACTTAAAAAAAATAACTTAAAGGTATAGTGGGGGTTTTTCATGAAGTTTACATAATATTAAAGAAGCTGATGACTTGAAATAAAATCTAAAATAATTTGTTACAGATGAATCAGACCAATACAATGTTGAATCTGTTGCTGATGAAGATGGTAAGATTAAAATCAAGAGTTCTCATACCATGTTTTAATATTATCAGAAATCTCTTTTTTTTTTTTTGTTGTTGTTTTTATAGTTTGATTGTGACTTACAGAAATGTCCTGTTTTTATAGAAGATAATCTTATAAACGATCGGCAGAACAGCAGCCCGGAGTTTCTTCCCTCAAAATGTAAGTTTTTGTTGTTTTATTTTATTTTGTTATTTTATTTATTTATTTTTGCTTTTTCCAGGCAATTCAAAAATGTGTTTAATTTTGTAGTTTGGACCTAAGCCATTCAGTGATTTATGAATTAGCAAAAGTATTTTAAAGTCTATTTTCTGAGAAACAGGAAGTCTGTGGAAAGACTTAAGAAATGGGCTGATGTTCTCTGCTTTCTTAGTTTTGGTGAGGACCCGGGCAGCAGCATTCTGGATTTACTCCCTGAACCATTGTTTATTGGCAGATCTGTGAAGCCACCAATGCACTGATCAATTCTACCAAACATGAACACATGTTTTAGTTCTTCAAGCTGAGTCATTAGCCTTTCTTGCTGGGTCAATAGTCATTTAAGTCTGGAAAAGTTCTTCAGGTGAAAGAAGGCCACCTTTGTTCCTGTCTCTATGAGCCTCTGAAGGTTCAGGCCTGAGCCCATCCCTTCACCCAGAGTTAGAGCCTGATTGATGCTTTGTAGCTGGATTAACTGAAGCTGTGTTAAACTTATGAACGCCCCTCTTTTGGTCCAAAATGATTCCTTCAGTTTAATCCATAGATAATTTGTAATACTCCCACATTTGATTAACATTCACCTTCAAAATTGAGAATAATAATAAAAAGTAATATGGCAAAACAAAAATGCCTCAGGATTATTTAATGCCATGGGTCTAAAATGCTTATGAAAATGTTTAATTTAAAATGGAAACAGAAGGGAATAAGTTAAAATATTGTCTTATGAGAAAATGTATTGTAGTTTTTATTATTGTTATCTTCCAGTGCAGCAGTGGCCTCCACCAGTCCAGACTCCTGCTAAGGAGACTAAGAAGCCTGAACCAAGCAGCAGCCAGAAACCTTTAAAGTCAAAGTGGAAAGGTAATCGTCCTAAGTTTAAATCAAAAAAACTTTTCTGATTTGAATTTTCTGAATTAAATATGAGCATCCATCCATCCATCCATCCATCCATCCATCCATCCATCCATCCATCCATCCATCCATCCATCCATCCATCCATCCATCCATCCATTCCCTGCCACGCTTTTCTCTGCTGGGATCATGAGGGGTGCTGGTGGCTATCTCCAGCTGTCAGTGGGCGAGAGGAAGAATACATAACTAAGTATTTTTTGCCAATGACAAACCCTCCTTTTCTTCCTCCGATTCAACATTCACAAAACTGAAACACAAAACTCAATCTTGATCAAAATCTTGTATTATCTATTAGCATGATTCTATCATTTTACACATCTAAGATCAGAGAAAGAACACTATTACTATATAGTACCTAAGTAACACACAGATATTAATTTCAGATTAAAAGTTTAAAAGTTACCTCCTGGTAGAAGCAGAGACAGTTTTGTGTCTGAGCCTTTCTAAAGCTTTCCAACTGAGGTATGATGAGCTAAGTCTTTGTTATGTTTCAGGTCCATCTCTCTTTTTTTCTCCTTTTGGGCAGTTCAGCTCTGTATGCAGTGTCAGGCAGTGGTATCGTAGTATCGTCTCCGGTGCTTATACAGCTGTACTGTTCTGTTTACATCCCCTGTCCTCCATGTTGTAAAGGAGCTACTGCTTAACAAAGGCTCTGCTCCTTGTTATGCCATTGGCAGAAAAAAGCTGCCCCAGGCTGTTTTCAGTTCCAGCTTATTCTTACTAATAAGCCTAATAAGGCTCAACACCTCCATCTTTGAGATGTTTGACATAGAATCTTCCTCTAAAAAGTATTTGGTCTCTAGCTGTAAATCTAATCCCACTTTAAAGGTGGATTTGAGTCACAAAGATGAATAAGTTTAAATACAGTCCATTTAATTTCAATTGTATAGTTTTTTCATATTGATCATTGTCTTTAAGCTTTATAAAAGAAGGGGAAAGAAATCCATTCCATTTGGAAGTTGAATTCAATTATTTGACCACATTCAAAACTTTAGAAATGTAAGTTTACCTTTAAACCAATGAATCCTTTGAAGCTATTGTGAAATACATGTTCAGGAGGATTGAATGTTGATTCCTAATTAACACTGTGGGTATTTTCTTCTGTTTGACCTAATGGTTCAGGTTCTTCTGTCAAGCATTATGTTGACTACATAAATATCATATGGCATCGTTTTTTATTTAAAACTATTTTTACTTTTGAAAACGTTTGCAGCATATTTTATTTCCAAACAAGAACAGGTAAAAACTGTAACTTTGCAACATTTTGTTTTCTGTTAGTTAGGAGGACATATTGCATTGCAGCATCAATAATAATGAAGAGAAATTACCGCCTTTGATTGGATTTGATGATTTTATGTCTGTATGCTGTGTTTGTGTTCTTGCAGTCCATCAGCAGGAGCAGCAGCCACCGGTCCCTCCTTCTGGTAGTGAGAACAATATACCGATCGGTGGCGTCAAAGCTATTTTGACAAAGTTGCAAGGTAAGATTTGTTGAATATGGTTTTCCAAATGTGAGGTTTTATCTTGTAAATCTTATCTGTAAGATTACAGACTCCACCATAAACAAAGCCTTGGTTTCAGGGTTAAAGGTCAACAGTGAAAGCCACTATGGTAACTCTGCAGATGTTACAGTTTATAGATTTAAATTACTCTTTTGTAAACGCCTTTAGTGTCCTGTGATGCTGGGGTTAGTATCTTAGCTCTTATTGTGGGACTCTCAGGAGCAAATATTGGACTATTCATGAAATTTATCAATCAATAAAGACTTTATTAAACTTCAGATATGAATTTTCACCTTTTTGTTACAGTATTCTGTTATTTCCTGATTTTTAGAGCAGAAAATTCAGCCTTTAAATTATAACACTCTGAACCTGAACGAAGGGATTTTCTTTCTATAGAATGCCCTTTATGTGCTCCAGAGGGGCATTATATGTGACATCCAACACATATAGATTAGACTAAACGGTTCTGAGACTTGTTAAAGATTAATTTATTTTATAATATTATTTTTTGTTACTGGTTGTGTGTGTATGGTAACAAGTCAGCCAAAGGCACTTCGCAATGCTTGGCCTAAGATGACCTGAGAGTGTTTTTCTTACATGGTAATGCTGTTGTCTGGGGTTGAACAATGATATTGAGGCTTAAAACTTTGGAAGAGGCACCTCCTGGCTGGATGCAGCATTTTTGGGCAAATTGGAAAACATTTAGTAGATCTGGGCCACTTTTTCTGCTCCCATAGTTATGGTTCAGAAAGTAAGCCTAAGACAAAGAAGGCGAAGACTTCTTCAGTAATATTTGCTTATACCAATGATTTTGTTAAGCAATTTTGTGTTCTTGTAGCCTCTCCTCAGCCTCAGCAGCCACAAAATCCATTTTCTGTCAAAAACAAGAAACCAGAACCAGGAAGCCGGAATCCATTCATGTCAAAGTTGGCAAGTAAGATTATTGGATTGTCTTTTGAAAGGTACCCATGGATAACAGTAGGGAAAATTAAGATTAAATCTCATTCAGTGATAAAGATTTGTAAGAATATTATTCTATTCCAATTCGATGACATTCAGTTTATTTATATAGATTCGATTCACAACACATCATTTCAAGGCTCTTTTTAGAGAATTCAACCAGATTATACAGTCAGATTGTTTTATATTTTCTGTCAAAGAAAAAACAGCTGATTGTAGCGACTTCTTGACTCTTCAGCAATCCCTCACACCAAGCATGCTGGTAGTGACAGTGGAGAGGAAATCTCCAAAAGTGTTCCAAAAGACAAAGTAATATCCTTCTGCTGCCAGAAAAAGATGTATAACTTACAACCTCTACTCTGCTCCATTTTAACGATGATTTTTCAGCGTACCACATTTTAGGCACACCCATCATTGAGGAGTTAGAAAATAAATCCAGAGGCAGTTTCAGAAGAAATAAATTACAATCATTATCAACCAAATTAATGTTCTATGTATCTTATACTAACATTTTAGATTCCTTTTTATTTTATTTGAGTCCCTGAAGACTGAGGGTTTAAATACAATGATGAACACATTAAAACTGAAAATAATTACGGTTAATGCTGTAACTAATGCAAACTTTCTGTCCCTATTTTTGAAAATAAATCAGAATTTTCTTTCTGAAATATTATTCTACACTGAAAGGTTTGGGAGAACTCCCAAATTAGGTGGTTAAGTAAATAAACAGTTTTTACTAAGGAAGAAAAATGAAAAATAAAACACTCAGAATAATTAGAGCCCATAGGCTTATTTGACTGAGCAGAATTAGGAATTGAAGGATATGATCAGTGCATCCTGGTTTTAAAGGCCAAGCCCGGTATAAGTAATCAAGCTAAATGCAGATCTACAGCTTTCTTCAAGAGAACATGAGGTTGATCTCAGATTCATTGATTTAGAAAACAAAAGTGGATCAAATTAATGAATAAATTAACTAAAATACACATTTCTTAAACAATTTTGTTTACAACATAATTTAAGGAGTAACTTTCTCAAATGAACAGCTATTAACCTAAAGATGAACAGTGGAAACTAATATTGTAATTTGTAGATCTCAGATGTCATACATTTATATTACTCTATTAGCCTGGCATCCAGTTTTAATGCTGCGTGAAGTGGAAGCTTAAATAAGTCAGAATATCTGAAAAGTCCAGACTTAATGCTTTATATTGATTTTGTGAAATTGGACACAGACATCTTCAGGCTCAAGTCCATTCTATTCAAAATGAAGAAGCAGCTTTTAGGTTCTATTCTCCACTAATCTAAGGCAAACTTAGAGAAAACTGTAAAAGTGATGAAAGCAGCGTTTAAAGGACATCCTTGAAGAACAAAGAAGGTAGCATCCTCTATTAGAGGCAAAGGTCAAACTGACTTCTCATGATACTGGATTTAGGATTAAAAACAGAAAAAAATTAATAAAATGGAAATGTATAATAAGGGAAGATTCAGGACATAAGAGTCATTAATCGACTGATGTACACCGTGTAAGAATCTGCATTCGCGGGACAAAGAAACTGAAAACATGAATGAATACATACAGAAGCAAGGAAATAAAAATGCAATAAGTGTTTTTTGGTTATTAGGTTACAAATAAGATTTTCTTTTGATGGGTAAAGTCTAACTGCATTAGAGCTTACATCAGAGTTAAAGTTTTCTTTTTAATTTACAGTTAGACTATTTATCTTTGGTGAAGAAAGACTCTTTCAGAATGATTTGAATTATGTATCTCTTTAGAGTTCCTTGAGAAGATATGTGTTGTGAATGGGTATTATAAGAATAAACTGAATTGAAGGAAAAACTGTATTTCATGCTACATATAAGACCGTAGCCCACTACTCCTAGCCCTTAGTCAGCTTCCAAATCCCAGAGGACCACAGCCCAACAGCCAGCAACTAAACATGCTGCAACACGACCAAAGCCCCTTTTGCAGTTGAATTATCTACAACCTCCCAGGTTTCTGCTTTCATCAGGCAGAATCTACAGTATACAGATTAAGGTGGCTACAGATGCCTAAACTAAATAAGATAAACTGAACAAAGCTCTACAGCTGTTCCTGTTTAGGGGTAAAGTTGTTAAATTGTTCACTGACAGCAAATAATGTAGTCTGTATCATTTGAGTACATGTTGCAGCGCCACCTAAAGGCTGTTTTGTGATCCTATAGCATATCAGCAGAAGCAGCAGCAGCCCGCAGTCCAGGTATCTGCTGAGACTAAAAAGCAAAGAAACAACAAAAACTGGGAAATATTAACGTCATCATTGGAAGGTAAGATTTTTAGATTTGTAAATATCTGAAAATATTCCATAATAGAGAGTATCAAAAGGTATTATTTTTTATTAACTGTATTAAAATGTCCATATTCTTATCCAAATAAAGAATAATATAGATTATTTACACATAGAACAAGATATTTTAATGTTTTATTTCTTGTAATTTTGCTGATCATGAATTCCAGATATTAAAAGCCTTAACTTCAGTCTGAGCAAGTTAGAATATTATGTAAAAGTCCATTATTAAAACACATGGAGTCAAAACAACCTCAGCTCAGGTACGATGTACATCTCTAGCATGGATTGGGTCTTTTTTCCTCCTTAGGATTACAACTATTTATCTGACCAGGCTAATCCATGGACGCTTTAACTGGTATTGGGGATGTAAAAAGTCTTGATATCAGTAAGATTGAGTTTGGGTGGGGGGAGCCTGAGATGTACGAGAGGTGGAGTGATACTGCCTAGAAACAGTCACGCTCACCTCCACACATAGCCTGGGCTCAGGAGCCTAACCCTTTTAGAGAGGTGCGGCCCTATTACCGGTAACTCTAGAGTGGCCCACAGGCAGAAGTGAAGGACAGGGGTGGGTCAACTTGTGTCCCCCCAGCTCAGTCATCTCTTCTTGTAGTCCACCCTGGTTGTTGAGGGTCCATATCCATGTGCTATCAGCATGTTTAGAGGGCCCTGTTTGATAGGAGCCCCCTCTGGGATTTCATAATTCCACTTGAGAACCTTTTGAACATTGGAGCAGCTCTATACCTTCTGCAGGGTGCTCAACCAGTCCACATGTTATTTTTGGACATTGAGAAAACATTCAACCATCTCACTTATAGTGGCCTGTAGGGATGCTCCAGGAATGTGGAGTCGGTGGCCCTTTATTAGCTATCATATTAGTCTGAGTTTTTACATTCACCCATAGTAATAAAATCTGGACCATGACATAACAGGATCACAGATACAAGTCACCGAAATAAGCTCTCTCCGCAGGGCGGACAGTGTTTCCCTTACGGAGATGGTAAGATGCTCCCCAATCTGGCAGAGTTTAGAGTAGAGCCATTTTTTCTTTACATTGGAAGAAGTCAGTTGGGGTGATTTTGATATGTTTCTAGATTCCATATGGATGTCTCCCTCAGGGGATGTTCAAGGCACATTTCAATATTATGAGGCCTAGAGGGCAGCCCAGGATATGCTGGAGGGACTCTTAGCTGGCCTGGAGCACCCCAGGCTTCCCCAGAGGACCTGGAGGAAGTGTTTGGGAAGAGGGAAGTCTGGATGTATCTCCTGAAACTGCTGCCTGTGCAACCAAGTCCGGGATGAGCAGAAAACCAGTCTGAACATTGTCCACTATTATGCACAGGAACCATTACCTTCCATTACTTTTTTATTTGCTGTTAGATTAATATTATACTGGTATGTAGCATAACTATAGTCATGTAATTCAGCTAACTTCTAAAAGAAATATAATACCAGCAGAACAGCAATTTAAGAGATTTTAATATTGACAGTAAAAATAAAAAAACAGTGAAAATTTGAATCTATACATGCACACATTTTTATTTGGTAGGTGGATTATTCGCAGTATTTGGGCAGTTTAGTGCCAGATGGAACAATTGTGGTTTTCCTTAATTTGAGAGAGAGTGGTTATTTTTTCTTCAGTTTTTGCTAAGTATTTTGACATGTGTTGCTTTTTTTTTTTTTTTTTTTTTTACTAATTGTTTGAAAAATATCAAAAGGAATGTGAATTTCTTTTTTTTAATATATGTTATCATTTATTAAGATTAATTTAACAAAATGACATGTAACTTTTAGTAAGATTATTAAGTTGTACTTTTTTAGATTTCCTGTCATTCTTTTCACAGGCGTAGAACCGAATCCAGACGATATCAGAATTGTTCTGATAGGGAAGACTGGCAATGGGAAAAGCTCATCAGGAAACACCATTTTAGGAAGAAAAGAGTTTGACGCCAAATCAAGTCAAAACTCAGTTACAAAGCAATGCCTGAAGGAAAAGACTCAAGTAGACGGTCGCTCAGTTTTTGTTGTCGACACACCTGGTCTTTTTGACAACAGTTTGAGCCATGAAGAGATTAAGCATGAGTTGATGGGGTGTGTTAATTTTGTTGCTCCAGGACCACATGTCTTCCTGCTGGTTATACGGATCGGTAGATTTACACCAGAGGACAAAGAGACATTAGAAATGATCAAGAAAATCTTTGGGAAGAATTCAGAAAAGTTCACCATCGTTCTTTTAACTGGAGGAGAGTTATTGGAGCACGACGGCCTCACCATTGAAGAATACATTAGACAGGAATGTGGAAATCCTTTCAAGCAGCTGGTTGCTGACTGTGGAGGAAGGTACCATGTTTTTAAAAATCAGGATGTAGACAACCGTACTCAGGTCAGAGAGCTGATTAGAAAGATTGACACAGTGGTGAAGGAAAATGGAGGAAAGTATTTCACCAATGAGATGCTGCAAGAGGCGGAGGCTGCCATACAGAAGAACATGAAGATTATTGCAAATGAAACACGTCATGAAATAAAGGCAAGGGTGGAAGAACTTGAAAGAAAACTGGAGGCTGAACAACAAATGTGGAAAATAAAGCCTGGAACGGCTAAAACAGAAAATCTGCAACGAGGAAAATTACAGGAGGACTGGAAGAAAAAGATCAAGAACGAAAATGAGCAGAATTATAGAGAGGAAGAAGAGAAAAGGAAGAAAGCTGAAGAAGAAATAAAAAAGACAAAGAATGAGCTGGTAACAGTGGAGGAAAATATACAATCAGGATTAAAAGGTCAAGTTGCTGAACGATCCCTGGAGTTAAAGAGACAAGAACTGGAAGGAAAACTAAACCTGATGGAGAAAGAACAGCAAGAGTCTTTGGAGAAGAAACACAGGGAAGACAAACAGAGAAATCAGATGGAGGAGAGCGAAATGGATAATCTGACAGAGGAATATGGAATATATGAAAACTGTGAAGATTATGAAGAAATAATTCGAAGAGAACTGGAGGAAGAGTATCAGAGAAAACTGGATGAGATTAAAAAGAAATACATGGAAGAAGTTAGGAAAAAGGCAGAGATGAGGCGAAAATTCAAAGCCTTTGATGCTATGCTACCAATCCTTAAACACGTTGACAAAACATGCAAACTCATGTAATGAACTTTGTGAACGAAGTGTCAGATGTTTACCTTCCTGTTTGTTTCCGAATATTTCACAGGAGTGTCATAATATTTCATCAAACATTTTAGATCCAAATCTTAATGAAACTCCGAACTCTGGTTGATTAAGTAGAAAAGTAGGTTCATCATATGCAGACAGTTTATTCCTCAATGCTGCTGTTCAGGGGTTGGTTCCTGATCAGAGGAAACTTTCTGCATGTTCTTCTTTTGTCTCCACCTCTTACTGGTAATAAACATGACTTCATTTATTGAGTTCGGAAAAAGCTAAAGTGTCCTTTAAGATAAACACATGATAATGGTTATACATTATGAGCTCTTATAATTACAATAGATTTTTTTCTTTTTAAATGTAGATAAATAGAATATGTAAACTTAGTCATTTCATTCTGTTCATGCATTTAATTTATGTCTGTTCTCAGCGCAGGACGGTGAGCAAAAAGCTGTTTATCATGAAACAGTTAAATTCTCTCCCTCTGAGAATGTGAACAATTGAGTTTGAAATAGACTTTACTTCTGTATGATAATGTTTCTCGACTTGATTTGTAAAGCACTCATTGTAATCAGACCCTCATGGCATCACTGTGGGTGAAATGTTTTATGGTTGTATCTGTAAAAAGTCCAGAGATTCAAACAAACAAGAGAAACCAGCATAATGATGAATCAAGTGAAATAAACACAAATCCAAGAATCAATGTCCTATGGAGTCACATTTATTCACTTAAAGTTCTACCAGTTTTTTTTTCTCTTTCACCATAACCCACAATTCAAAATTGGCCTGGGCCAGATGTGGCCCACATAATGCACTTACATCTGGCCCACATGCCCCAGTGAATGATAGAACTCCACTGGCGCAGGTTTAGTTTTCCAGAGGTGATGCATGTGCGGCCAGAACCTGGCCAGACGTTGACCAACTGAGGAAATCCAAACTGGCCCATGTATCAGGTCATATCTGGCAAACCAGACCTAGGCCAGTGGGGGCCCGTCATTCATTGAAGCATGTGGGCCATATTTTAACTGCCATCTTTGGTTCAGATCAGTTTTATATTTTGTTAGTGATAATGTCATTACAAATCTACAGTATAAGACATGTTTTTTTTTTATACAAGTTTTGCATTTCTAGAAGAAATAATAAAAACATAAATATCAACAAAGTTAGCCAAAAAAAAAGCAAGAGCACAACAAAAGTTTGTCAAAACACCAGGACAATATCAAAACAGGATTTTTCGCTGTCCGTTTTGCTGATCATTTGGTTCCTTTTCATTCTTTCATGTCTCCCACTGTTGAAATTTGGAGTGTTTTGCAGCCGTTTGTTGTGCTGACATCAAGTAGATGACACGTCAGTCAATTGCACCTCACAGCCAATCAAACAGTTTATTTTATGTGTAAACTAAAATTTTTCAGGTTTTTTTTTAACATTGGACAAAACAGTTTGAATCTTTGGCAAGAATACTGCATATTTTCTCAGAACACCAATGTAGTATTTAGTTAATACAGACAGTTGGATTATTCAAAAAGCATTCATTAAGACAGCAGGCTGACGGACTGCAGATCTGCAGTAGCAGCGGCTAGGGTGTCTGAGACAGGAAACTCTGGAGAGAGGAAACACAGGTTGGTGACCATGTAAATCTAACAGGGGAAAATTATGAACGTGAGTCACTAACCTGGTTTACAAGTTCAGTCCATCCCCTTAGAACGAAGTAGGATCCAGCCAGTGCATTTCCCACAAGATGCTGTGTCCACTGTGTCCCAGCCCCAGAGAACAAGCAAGCGTCCCAAGCCAAGTCAGTCAAACAGGCCAGAACAGGAGATCCAGGAGTGCAAAGACAGTTCAGGCAAACCGTCAGACAGGAACACTGACAAGATTTACAATGACAACTACAGGAAATAGGAAGCTTCTATGTGCGCATTTCCCATGAGCAGCTTTGAAATTCTGTTGCAGCCGCTTCAGATGTTATAGTGCCAATTAATGGCCATTATTAGCAGTTAAGTAATTGATTTTTTCCAACGGAATTAATTAATCTATGTGTAATCTTTAAATAATTTCACTAGTACATGTACTGTAAAAAGAAAGAAAACAAAAAATATCTCTCTGGGTACAATGCAGGTTCGGACTGGGAACGATTTTTGGCCCTGGCACTTTTTCAGCTCCTTGAGTTATTTAGTGTCACAGGTACATGTAGGAGCTTCGGCCAGAGAGTAAGTGTTGGGGCTGGTATGATTTAAGGAGGCCCTCGCACTCTGAAATTAGGACCGGCCCACTAGGCAAATGCCCGGTATCACAGATTACCAATCTGAGCCTGGTGCAAAGTCACTACTGCGACTCTCCTCCATAGCGCATGTGCGCAATAGTGCACATCCATTGCACACATGCGCTACCGTGTGCAAAATATTGAACAGTTGGAAGATAGGCCCCTACAGACAGTGTGTCTTCTGAGTTTAGGGATGGTTGGCTCAGGCTTCTAGACATTGTTTATAAAAGGTTATGTAACCAAGATAATTTGTTTCCATTTTTGTTGAATTCAGTTTAATTTTAATTTTTTATTTTAAAGATTTATCTAAAAATAAAATCCTCTTCTCCTTAATTTCTTTACCACTAAAAAAAGCCAAACAAGATCTTTCTGTTCTCACTTGGTTTTATGTCAGCTTTCTAAATTGACAGCTGCAGCTTATAAGGTTGACGAGTGGCAGCCCAGGTAGGAGATGCTGTCTGACGCTGACAGGCTTCTAGCCGATCATATGCCTTTAACAAGTGTGTACAATGCTGTCTTCCACTCATATGCCTTTCGACTTTTAGATTCATCATTGTGGATTAAAACCTTCATCAGGTCACAAGGTATGCCCAGCCTCCCAGCAATTGTTAGGGCTCGGTCAGTGTAAACAGATCTAAAATGTTTACTCACCTGGATTTAAGCACTTAAACCCAAAGTATTTTGAATTGTAAAGCACTATCACTGTATGCTTAAATGAAACTATGAGTACTCACATGAGTTTAATATATAAACTTATTTCACTGCTGTGATATTTTGAAGCACAAAAACTGAAGATTGATCAATCAGGCCATTTTTTATAAAGGCCAGGTTACCATTTCAGAATTCTATTCCAGGATCCCGTTAGACCCATATAACCACCAAAGGAAACGGCACCTTCTACGTCCTAACTAGAAGTGGTTGAATTCCTTGGATAAAGGAACACACCCTGGACTTCATGAATTGTCATGACTGATTTGTCTGTAAATATTGTAAATATTAATATATATCCCTAATTTCACACCACTCTATTGTCTGTGTGTTTATACAAAGTTAGCATTTCCTCCAGCAGTCGAACTTAAGAATTCTTTCTGCTTTAATTTGTTTATTTCTTCAATCATGCTAATATTCATATAAGTAATAGAGGTTACAGTTGCAACACAAAAGCCAGTATTGAGGTCTGTAGGTTCATAAACACTGTAGAAGGAATATAAACAAAGAAAAAGACATTGCCATAAGGACAACAGCATCATGTAATACTGCAATCATCAGAAACTGCATACTTTAATCCTGGGTTTACTTTAAATGGCTATTCTTTGCATTCTTGTACATTTAAGGTGTTAATGTTGGTCATTGATGATCCTAACAAAAAATAAGCTTTTTTCTTACATGAGGAGTGAGATTTAAATGTGATCTCTTGTTTCTTTACTGACATCTTCTGGCATATGAAAGAAACTACACTCAAATAAAAACAATATGTCATTGATCATTTTAACATGAAAAGATACAGCAGTGTAACTGATACACCTAGTTTTTCCACAATCTTTTTATGTTTAATTATATGGTATTATCTTTTCAAATAATTCATTACCTATTAAAGGTTGATCTTATTCTCTCACCCAAACATATTGGAGTTTTTAGACTTTATCGTTAAACTATGTGTTATTTCGACAGGAGCAGAAGGCCAGAGGCATGTTCATCGTATCTTTCCCTGAAGAGCAGAGATCTCCTGGTCATATTTACCCTTGCAGTGAAGTGACCTGGTAAAATGCATTATAATGGAGTGGCTGAGTAGATCTAACACAGCCTCTTAACGAATAAAAATGCGTAAAATGCCACCACAAATTATGTAAGCCAAAGCATGTTGTTTATGAAAGCATACGCTATTTAGATCAACTCAGGCGGGGGTGCAAAGTTAATATACGGATAGTTTATTGAGACCAAGAGCTAGCTTTGGGTTCTCACATAAAGGTCTAGGTTTCTTGTGTAAAAGTTGGTCCCTCTCGTTCGCTGCTAATTAGGTGCACAGATCACTGCTTGTCTAGATTTTTTGCTAATTTCACACCATACAGTCTGCCTAAATTCAGATCTTCAGGGATAAAAGAGCCCTAGAGGAACAGAATATATATCAATATCGATTATGAAAAAGTTTTGGAGCAGTTGTTCAGTGGTGATACTTGCTTTTGTTCCCATGCACAGACATAATAGGCTTAAGTCACAAATAGTGACTATATTGTAGCTTAAATCAGTAGTAGGCAAACATTTATGACAAGTTTTTACCTGTCAAAAAATAAATAACTTACCTTTTATTGCTCTTTTCCTAATACTTATACCTGCCAACAATATGTGAAGGATGTTGCCATGTATTGTGACCATATCTTAACCCTAAAATGCCAATTATAGGCTTTCTGAAATGTTTTGCATCTGACACCTTTTGCATGATTTAATGGTAAAAACTTTACTCAAAATCCTATTGTACACAATCAGATATAGCTGATAACAGCCAGTAGAAGACTACACAAAAAATAACCTTGACTTATCGCATAGTAATAAATTATTAGTATCAAAAATGTATTTCTGTTTTTTCTTTTTACATATTTTTTTAAAAGGCCAAATAAGGAATTCAAACAAAAAAAAGTAATTTTCTGTTTTGTTTTATTCTTGGATCAGGCTTTAAAGGGTTAAACTATAAGAAATTACTACATTTAACCAAATTATTTCTGGCGAGTACCTCCTCGATTCAATTAAAAGTGATATCTCTTATTTCATGAATATTATTTAAATATAAACAATATCAGCCTTCAAGTAGTGACAGGATGTATTTCAGTAAAAAATCAGGACATTAATTATACATTCAAATTAAAAAGAGGAAGAAATTATCTGATTACTTTCCGTTACCGCATGGTCAGAATTTATGATATAAGTTGTCATATCATCTGACCACTTATGTTTATTATGTCAGTGCATGTAAATGAAAACTAAGGGTCAATACAAAAAACGGTGCTGCTATATTTTATTAACAATAATAATATTGTGTGAGAGTTCATTTTAGCCACATGATTACTGTATATACAAGTCACTTTTTCAACAAATGAGACGCTGTCACTGGTTTTCCAGACATTTCTCGCTTCTTTTTCTCCCCTCTCTTTGACCAAGCTGACCCAGATGGTGTAGAAAATGCATTCAATCCAACGATCAAAACATACAGTGGTCACAAAATATAGAATAAACCAGCACTTTTATTTCCAATAATATTTCATTATGGGTTTTGCATTTGTGATGCAGCTTTTGCAGTCGACCTGACACTTCGTAGCCATCATATTAATGACAATTTAACTGTTAGATTTTTATTTACAGTGAGGATATTTGTCTTTTTGTTCAGCAGGTGGAGGAGCTGTATCAATCATATCTGTATGATCTGGTTGAAACTTTTCTGCTCATTTTTATTAATGATAAACAAAGAGTAACTGATAATCAGTTACTCTCAGCAGGCCTGTTTGTTTGTGAGCAGCGCAAATAAAACTATGAAAAATAATAAATAAATATTATTCCTGTTGATATACTGATAGTAGGCTGGGCAAGGGGAGGAGGGGCAGTCACATTTCCTCAAAGAAACTTCTGCTTTGACTCTGGTTCAATTGCAGAAGTAGTAAGATTTACCGGTTAGAAAAATTACACAACCAGCAACATTAATTCAGCGTCTGACAAACAGAATTTTACACTAATACTTGAACAGATGATGAACTGATATTGAAAAAGCATCTTTTCAGCACAGGTAAGGTTCTTTTCACATTTTTTTTAATGGCTAACATATTTATATTTTCTGTCACCCTTAATCTGACGCACTGCAGAAACACTCAAAGTAAATCATGTTCACTTTCAGAAACTATGAAATGACAGAATTTTACCGCGTGAGTAGCTCGCACAGCACCCAATTTTATTTGGAAACTTCAAAACGTTTTGCTTCTCTGATAGGATTATGTTTTCTTTACTTTAATACCGAAGTGCTGCATTCAAAGCAGAAAATTCAGCGTCTTTTTCAAAAGCGAAAGTCAAGGAGCAAAACTAGATTTTTTTAGGTCACGCTAACACCGTGTATTACGGTAGTAGTGCTGGCTTGGGTCTTTCAAAATAAAATCAGAATATTTTACATTTATTGAATGGGATTAGTAAACGTCAGTCTTGCTTCTCTTTTCTCTCTCTCTCTCTCTCTCTCTCTCTCTCTCTCTCTCCCATCTCTCTCTCTCTATATATATATATATATATATATATATTTAAAAGCCCTGCATGCAGCATATTTGACATACTAAATTTACACTGATTCAATGTAAAATAGACATAGCTGAATTAAGCTATGTTATATTTTATTTTTTTTCCTCTTTTTTATTGAAAATATCTTTGAGTCTTTTAGATGCCGTCAATAAATAATGTGAACAAATATCAAAACGGGAAATTGTTAATGAAGATTTGAATAAGGATGCTTGTGGCTAGGATTTATTAATAAAAAATCAAACTATAAGCTCAGTAGCCTAAGTGAAGTAAACTAAAAGTCAAATTGAATTTAATTTAAATTTAGACAAATCGAGTGATAATTGAGAGAAACAGGTTGACACACTTAGAAAATTAAAACTAGTATGAGATAAAACTGCCCTCACACAGATGAAACCTTTCTTTTGCCTTGAATCTGCTGCATATTTCTTGATAAAACTTAAAATGACCCATCACTACTATAACTTGTTTCAAGTGAATACTTTGTATCGCGGTGAAAATTTGATCCATTAGATTATTTCTTTTATCTAAAATCCCCTTGAGACAAACATTTTAAAGTTACAGAGCTTCAGCTAAAGTCCACGTGGCTTATCGGCATTCAGACATTTTGTCACAGTAAATGTGGAAAGAAAGACTATTCTACATTTACCAAAGTGTTTTCACATCCTCTTTTAAGTGCAAAAACACAGACTGTAGTGGTCTGTGAAGTCTTAGGGACTTGAATGAAGAAAAACATAATTCCTTACTGTTACTGTTGTTAAAGAAGCAGTGACATTATTCTAAATTACATATTCCAAATACAAGACAGAGCATTAAAAACTAATAAATATATTAAAAATATATAAAGGTGTGTAAAGTTCTTGTTTGGAAATACAATTACTGGAATTTCTTCAAGTTTTTTAGTGATGTAAACATTTGCAAGCTGTTTATTTTTAAGGATCTGTGAACTTAAACATGCGGATATACAGTATGCATATATGTACGCAAATGTATGTGATTACATCACCCACAGACACACCCTAATATAAAATGCTTAAAGAGATTCCTGCCAATTAAGCCGGGTCCTTTGAAGACCTCTAAAACAATTATGGCTGGAAGTGATAAGCTTTCAGTCCTGCTCTCCCCTCAGCATAACTGAGGTGTAACCCTGTGGGTTATACTAGCGTAACCCTGATAGCATGAGACAAAGACCTCTAAGTCTAAACATTTATTTTTTTAATATAATTTATTCTGATATGCATAGTATTTATCAGAGGAAATCAGAAATGTTAGAAAATCTAAATGAATATGACATCGTTGCTATTTTCATTTTTAATGGGAGATGTCAGCAAACCGGACATTCCTTCCGCATTTAATGTTTAAATTATTATTTTTTTTTAAGTTGAAAAAGCCAAGCGTACAGCCCTTGTCTGGGAGGACATTTCTGAAAGCTGAGCTAAAGTCCACAAATAGCATCGTAAGAAAAGTGTTAGGATGCTGAAGCTAAGTCAAAGCTTGGAGTCGATTGAGCTTTTGTAGTGAAAGCGTGATAATGTTACTGTAAGTCTATGGGGAGCTATAGTGTCACTGAAAAAGACATTTTTAAATGTTAAATTTCAAATTTAACATGAAAATCATGCAATTTCAATCCAATTTGAAGCACATAGTCTAATTTTACATTTTAAATGGAATAATTAAAGCAGAATTGTAAATTGTATGTATTAATCTGTTTTTAACTCCTTAATTTTGAAAATGTAATGTATGTAAATGAAGATTTAAATACCAAATTCATAAATCTGATTATAAATACCTTTCCTAATCACGCACTTAAAGTTGTTATTCCTGATTCAATTTCCATTTTCTTAAACTTAAATTTTCAAATCCTTTTTGAAATTGCATTTCTCTTTTTGCATTACCTTCTTAATTTACCTTTTCCGTGACCTTTCTGCTCCTTGAGCTCACAAAAAACACAATTAAACCAATCACAGCTGCTATTCGCTTATAAACAACCTTCTTGATGGTAAGACAGCCAGTTGGATCGTAACACTAGTAGGAGGCGCTGTGCAGCCTCCATACTGAGCAAGCACCAAAAACTTTTCTTGGAATAAAATTAAGCACACAAATTCAATGTATAATATACCCAAAACCAATAAAGGAAATGACAATTTTCCAATTTTTTCATTTCCAAATGAAAAACTGAAAACAGAGCCGATTTGTCTTTGTAAAACACAAGCTTCATGGATGGAACATGAAACATCAAAGGTTGTATGCAGACGGCTTAATAGTTAGTAATATAGGAGCATAATATATTTTATGAAGATTGTGATCTTCTAGCAAAACATTTAAGTCTTAATGAATAATAAATGATTCCACTTTGCTTTATTTTTGTGCACAGGAATAGGGTTAGGCAACACAGTGGACCTATTGAACCCACCTGTGCAGAAACAGGATGTAGGATTCATATGTATTTGTGTTTTCTTTTAGTTAACAGCAGGGGTTATACTTAAAGCCTGTATTTGCACAGGCTTTAGATATTACAAGGACAAATATAAGTGACGGGTCTGCAGAGCTATTGCTCATACAAATGTACAAAATCACTAAGTTCAGCGTGCCAAAATCATTGCCTCTTTCAAAAGTGCTACTTAATCCAATTTGTGCTTTAAAAAAAAAAGAGCACCTTGTGCATAATAGATCTCAAAGACCATAGTGGAGGCTTCTAACACCTTCGCTTGTGCAGCATTTAAGCCATATCTAAGGCTTAAATGATTTAATTTTCATTCTTATTTTAAACTATATTTGAATTTACCTCTTCCAAGATATCTCCATCTCCCTATGACCCTGTATCCTTTTGCACGGTCGTCCTGCACATCATCCAAATCAAGTGGAATACAACTTCCAGTCCAGCAGATGTCGCTGCGGATGTGTTGACGCCCGTTGCTTTGTGTCACAAGCATGTCCGGCCGCGGGATACTGAGACGAGTCATTCGTAAACAAAATAATACATTTCAAGTCAGATGCTTGGATGCATTCTGGCTTTAAAAACAAAGAAGGTAAAAATGAAATTGATATGATGCACGTAATTTGCAAAAGGACCACTGAGGCCATGTAAATGTACTGATTATCCTTATTTTGTTATTTTAAGTTTTGTGAATCCTAAGATCTTTTTGTCAGTGTGTCCACGCCAGTAATAGTAATATTTGTGTCCAGTATTTGTTTTCATGGCAACACCTCCAAAAGTCGTTTCCATAAATACAGCTATGTATGAATTCAGTTGCTTTCAGTTATGTATCAATTGAAGACACTATCCAAATCATACACAGCCAGTCAGCCACTGGTAAGGGCTGTATCTTTTTCTTACAGTGTTCAGTGAAAATATCGCAATGCATCGCAATATTTCAAGTATCATGATGCATCGTGATAGAATCGCATCGCTGCATGTGAATCGTGATTTGAATCGATTAATGACTTCTTTGTCAATACCCACCCCTAATCTGAAGCCATTCTATCGACTAACCATCAATGGTTTGATAATATCCGAAGCAGTTGGGTCCAGCGGCTCCAGCAGAATATCCTCAGAACAGAACCAGCTTTTTGGATCAGCTTAGTACTTAAGCTTAATAATGTCAAATAAAAAAAACGTTTTCTAAACCTTTTCCTTTCAGATCAATCAAACCTGTACAATATGGCCTTTGCAGCGGGTAAGATTTTATTCATGCTATTCAAAATATATATAGTTTTGCATTTTGTGTTCAAATTGCAAAAATAATGAAAAGTGTATTTAGGCAGCAAGTTTTATAGCAGTTTGTTGAAATTGTATTGCTTTAATGTAATTAGTTTGGTCATACATTGCTAAACTTTTCTGTTTTCTGTTGTTATTTATTTATTTTTGTTGTAGATGGTGCCAGAACTCAGCTGCACTGCCAGAGCTCAGAGCAGATTCTACCAGACGGTGAGTTCAGCAACAGCTTAAAAGCATAATATATACTTAGACATTATATATGTTTCTATTTTTTACCTTTCAGCTTCTCCCTTGGTTTTATCAATGTTCAAATTTAGGAAGTTTGAAGTGTAACAAGATTTTATTTTGGACAATCAGGAGGTTAAAAGAACCCCATGAGATGTGATAACAAATGCATCACTCAGATCAAGGTACAATAGAACGGAAAGTAATACCAAAGTCAAAGGTTAAATTTCTTTCTACTATGCTCAGCTCCTGCCAAAAACTTAGCTCTGCCCTGCTGCCTTCCTGGGTGGTGGAGAATGACAAAGCTAAGACACTGAGGGACTTCCAGATTTAAATAGATCAAATTGTTATGGCCAACCAACCGAGATTGTGATCATTCATAAGCAGCAGAGGACCGTGCAGTGATCGTTGTATCCATCACAGATGATGGATACAAACGCTTTATAGACATAATTACAGTATATTGGTCTCGGTAATGAGTTGGTCTTTTTTCTTTACAGATGACCAGCCTATAAAACGAAGTCAAAGCTATGATTGGATACCACCTGAATGTAAGTTTATCTTCTTATTTCAGTACCTCTCAAAGTGGTGTCAGTTTTCACTCATGATGTATAGATCTTTGTTTTGCTAAAACATTAATTGAAGCACATAAAGATCCTTGCTAATGTTTTCATTTACCTTCCCATTTCACCACCCAATCTCTTAGAGAATGGGGAATGAGCTTAGAGAGAATCCTGGACGGCAGTTTTTAAGCCTTGCCTAAAATTGTTTGTTAAATTTTGGACAGCGGAGCAATTTTATTATAATTGTCAGTGTTGCAAAAACACATGCATCACAAGAAGCTATCCTGCTTGTTTTTCTTATGTAAGCTTAACAAAAATATGAAAGCAACACTTTTGGTTTTGCTCCGATTTTCTATGTGAGCAACTCAAAGATCTAAAACTTTTCCACATACATACACAAATATTTTTCACAATTTCCCTCAAATATTGTTCACAAACCAGTCCTAATCTATGAAAGTGAGCACGTCTCTTTGCTGAGATAATCCATCACACCTCGCAGGTGTCCCATCACGATGCTGATTAGACATGATGATTAGTGCACAGGTGTGCTTAGATTGCCTAAAATGAATATTTTTTTTAAGTAAAGTCCTTCAAGGTAAAAAAAAATACAATTCAGAATGTTGGACTGCCACATACTAAACGCCCTCTGAAGGATTCTTCAAATATATGGAATGAAGCTGAGGATTTTTCTAGTCCAAACTATACTGCAATAAATTTAAATCTAAATAAGTGCATTTCTTCTTGAATTGAGGAGGGAAGATAAATTCATTTCAATTCAGTTTATTTCTATAGCACCAATTCACAACACGTTATTTCAAGGCACTTTACAGTTCAACCAGATCATCCAGTCAAATTGATTCAAAGTTTTCTCTCTAAGGAAAACCAGCTGACTGCATCGACTCATTGACTCTTCAGCAATCCCTCACACTAAGCATGCTTGTAGCGACAGTGGAGAGGAAAAAACCCTTTTTTGGCAACAAAGTAGGGCTCAAGTGGAGGCATCAACGTTCGCCTGGATCAGAGACTATCTACCAAACAGACCACAGTTTGTTAGATTAAAGGGTCATCTGTGAAATCAAGTAGTCAGCAACACAGGAGCACCACAGGGGACGGTACTCTCTCCATTCCTTTTCTCTCTATAAACCTCTGACTTCCAGAACAAGACAGACTCCCTACATATGCTAAAATACTCAGATGACTTTGCAGTCATTGGGTACATCAAAGATAGTCAATAAGCTGAGTTGGTGAACCACTTTGTAGTATGGTGTGGAAACCATATCTGATCCTTAATGTCAACAAAACAAGGGAAATTATTGCATATTTCAGAAGAAATATGAGCAAGTTGAACCCTATTTACATCATGGGAGAACAAGTGGGGATGATTGAGTTTAAATATCTTGGTGTTTACCGGGACAACAAACTATACTGGAGACAGAAGTGAAGATGTCAACAAGAAGGGACAGAGCAGACTGTACTTTTTAAGGAAGCTTAGGGCCTTTGGTGTTTCTGGCAGGAAACTCTACTTTCTCTGCTCAACCTCAAATTTACAGATTGAAAATTAAACAGCAAAGTTAAACTGAAACTTAACCGAGATCCCCAATTGAAGTTAGGCCTACATTTTTCTTGGTATTTTATATATTTTTTCAAAACCATTTATATACCCTTAAAGTCTTAACTTTTAATTATTTTAGCCAGTTTTTAGCTTAGTTCCTTTTTTTTTATTTTATTTTGTGATTAAAGTTACTTCCAGACCAACATCCACAAATTTTGCCTCAATACCGATTGATGGTTTTATCGCATTCACTTCAATATTCTTTAACATCACTTCTAATTCATTCAGTGTTCTCTTACCTTTCTTTTATCTTTTTATTCCAGTGTCTGAGCTCAGGGTGATTCTGCTCGGAAGCTGCTGGTCCCAGAGGAGTTCAGTGGGAAACTTCATACTAGGAATTAACGCCTTTAAATATGAAGCTCACGTCTGTATTAGATGCAGTGGAGAAGTGGAAAACACGAAATTAGCTGTTATCAATACTCCAGATGTTCCGTTATCCACAGCAGACAAACTGACAGAGTTTATCACAGACTGTGTACAGGCCTCTGCTCCTGGTCCTCATGTGTTTCTGTTGGTACTAAAACCTGAAGATTTCACAGACCAAGAAAAAAACAGGATCTACAGAATCCTAAAAGCTTTTAGTGATCAATCATTCAATCATTCGGTTCTAATGATATTGAAATCTGAACTGATGCAGCGTATCAAACGTTTTCAAGAGCAAATGAAAAATGCTCCAATTAAGGAACTGATCAGGAAATGTAGATATCGATACTTAAAGATGGAGGACATCGAACTGCCAGAGCTGCTGACTCGCTTTGGCCAAATCGTAAAAGAAAACGGTGGAGAATATGTGACTTACGAAGAGTTTAAAGATGCAGCAACCACTTTGGAAGATTCTCATCAGAGCCAGAAGGAAAAGGCAGCAATGGGTTCTATTGTAGCTGCTGTTCAAACTGCTCGTGAGTTGAGAAATAATTTTGAGAATGATTTCAAAAGAATTTGGAGACAAAGTTTTTATTTTATTAAATATTTTTAAAAATTACTGTCCTTTTTTAAGGTATTGGTGCTCGAGTACCCAGGATACATCAGTCATATGAAGGTGAGTAGATTTTTTAAAGAATCTGTGATTAAATGTGTATGATCACTTCTCCACACTCCAATTTGAGTCATTTCTATAGTGCCAATATACAACATGATTTCAAGACACTTTACAGACAGTTCAGTCCGATCGTTCAAGTCAAATCAGTTTAATATTTTCTAAGGGAAACCTGTTGATTGCACCCAGTCATTGACTTTGCAGGTTTCACTCTTGTGTGAATTAGCAATCCGTCACACAGAACATCTATTCAGTGAAGAGGAAAAAACTCAATTTTATCAGGAAGAAGCATCCAGCAGAACCGGGCTCAGTGTGAGCGGCCTTACAAAAGGAAAATAGAAGCAGTGATCTAGAAAATGGAAATAGAGTTAACTAGCCCTATAAATATAGCTCAGGATAACCTGGGCCGCTCTAACTAAAAGCTTTAGCAAAAAAGAAGGTTTTACAGTAAGCCTAGCCTTAAATATAGACAGAATAAACAATGGTAGCTTGTTCCACATGAGAGGACCCTGAAAACTGAAAGATCTGCCTCCTCTGTAAATTAACAGATAAAAATACTTCACCAGTTATATTAACACTTATGCTTTTTTAACTCGGCAGAAAACAGAGCTCAGAGATATAAACCTACTTGTATCGGAGGAACATACATCTCTCCACAGAAATAACCTGTTTTTATCGACCTCAAAATCCATGGTGGACATGGAAAACAAATTAATCATTCTAAGATGCAAAACTAACGGACAAAAAACATACTAAATTATTCATAAAGAGACAGTGTTTAATTATTATTGCAGCTATTTGAATTCAAAACTGAATATACAGCAGTTGTATATATTGATATACTGTATACTGTAGTTCCAAGAACTGAGGACCGTCTCACAAAGCAGGTTTACTGAAAACTCGTAATTTTTTAAACCTGAAATCTGAATTTTATTATAAATTATGCTTAGCCTCCAGGTGACTCAATTAGCTTAAATAATGCAAAATAACAGGCTTATGTTTAATGGAAAAAGAATTCTCATTTACATAAACTCTGTGTGTCTTAATTGTTTGGTTAAGCCTGCTATTCAGTAAAATAATTTACACAGGGTAGTAAGAAAATGTAGGCAACAGTAGTTTTGCTTCATACTACTCAAGTATAAACATATATATATGGGTAAATATGTGTATCTAAATATCTAAAGCTTACTCTAATGTTCCTTAGTAAAAGCAGCAACTTACTACTGACTTTTGGAATCAGATGATTGGTACTAATATCCATGTTATATTTCAATGTTTTAGTTGTTTTAGCTTAAACAGTTTGGGAACCGAATCCACAACAATGATTCATAAATGAAACAATTCTATTAGACTTGCACACAAAATCTGAATGGGCTTAACAAACATCTTGTTGATCAAATAGATCACCTCATGCTAAGTGTAGGGTGTGGACATACTTGCAATATTGGGAAATAGAAAAGCACAAGTACCTTAAATTTGCTTGCAGATTTGGGGGAATTAATTGTTTGAAATTAAAAAAATTACAAAAATGAAATGGGGATTTTATTTATTTATTTCATATTCTGACCACCTGAATATTCTCACCTTAGCAAAAAAAAGTGGGCCCCTGTGATGTTGCCAACATGGCACACTCAAAAAACGGTCAGATTCAGTTTAAAGCATAAATCTCCCTCTGTCTGTAGTCATGGGTCTATCCAATAGGCAAAGGAAGAATTTATGAAGCACTAATAAAACATCCAATTTTAAACACCTTAGGTGTAAATAGAACCATAGTTGTAGCAGACATAAATCGATCATAACTGGACAAAAAGAAAGCATTAAATAAAATCAGAAATGCAGAAATTATAAATAAGTAAGAAAGAATGACCAAACAGATCTGGCAAAAACATAATGCACAACGAAGGTTAAGTTCTGTTTCTATTTTTTTTGCACTTAAAAAAGTTTTTTAGCAATTTTTATGAAAGCTAAGCAACTGGAATTTATATTTTACTAGAAAATATTGTTTTCTTTTTCTTCTTCTCCCTCTATGATGGACGATCACAGAGGACGGAGACTTAATTTAATCACCATAAGAAACATGATAGAAAAACACAGAGAAGAGTACATAGCAACAAAAATAGAAGTTAAAGTCTAATCAAGGATTATAAAAAATTACTGATGAAATTATTGATAATAAAACACAAGGTAGTCAAACCTTAAAATGATAATGTCTAGATGACACAGTCAAAACCAGTTTTAAACAAAGTTCGATTCTTGGTTGAAAGCAATTTATGGCTTCAGCAGTTTAGTTCCACATTTGCGGCGCATAAGAACTAAGTCCATATCTGGTTCTAGTTCTAGATTTTCAGAAAAGAATTGAGCCTGAAGAGATCTGGGTGGTTATACACTCACAAGCCAGCTATGGGTTTTGGAGTCATTCAATGATCTATAGACTAACAGAGGTTTTTCAAAGTCTATTCTCACAGGGAGGCAGTGGAAGAATTTATAATGGGCTGATGTGCTCAACATTCTTAGAGATAATGCTAGCAGCAGTACTCTGGATCAGTTGCAGCTGTCTGATCCAGGCAGAGCTAAGCAGAAACTGTTGCAGTGATCAATTATAGTAAAGATAAATTAATTAATTCCTTTTCCAGGATCCTGCAGGTACATAACCTGTCCAGTCAGTCTGACTTAAATGGGACGTAAGTCATGAGCAAAGGAAACATTTTTTTCACAAGTAGAAGAATTTCTTCTTTCTCACACTGAATCCCGTTTCTCATTTCATCAATAATATGTTGAGAAGAAAAGAGATATTTACTGTCCCCACTTGTACATGGAGCTGAAAGAGCAAGGGAAGGAAACCAAGTTATATTGCTTTTTCACTGCTATTGCTTTATCCTCTCCTCTTTAAGACCTGTGTTAGACTTTTCTCTGAGCAAATGATGATGCTAAAGGTCCACCCACAATTTACGAGGGGCAAAAAATTACTATTTTTGGCCCCTCTATTTTTTGTAATTTCAAAAGCCTTGATTATCTGAAGCTTGTAGGTACAAGATTTTTGCCAAATAGTAAAGCGGTTCAGAAAACGTGCCTAGAAATTGCTCTTTTACAGCACCCAGTAGAGTAGCCATAGCTGTGCGCACGCCACTGTCTGTGTCAGCTGCTTTGCTCAACAAATGTTTTAGTGCCACAACAGATTGACTCACGTCTGTGGAAGTCGCAAAATGTCAGCTTATCTCACTGGTTAATTGTTCAAATGAGGTGAAAAGTGCTGTCATGTTAGTAATAACAAGCTATTCCGTAGTCTGCATTTACATTGGAACCTCTAGTTCCAATGTTTTTTTTTTTTTTTTTTTTTTTTTTTTTTTTTTTTTTTTTTTTTTTTTTTTTTTTTTTTTTTTTTTTTTTTTTTTTTTTTTTTTTTTTTTTTTTCAACAACATTTTGATCTTTATTGTTTTAAGGGCCTGGGAGAAAGGTACTGACAAAAGGGACATGAGTATTATTTGAGTTAAATCAGACATTATGGCAGGCAGCACTTTCATAAGAAAAGCTTTGGGTAAAACATCAAAACAGCAGGAGGAAGATAGTTTATTTGGTGAAATTGGGACATTTTTTGAAAACATGTTCTATTTAGTGACAAATTTGTTTCTGGACTTGATGTACAGATTATCTCTCTAATCTTTTGTGATCTTACTTCATCCTATGTTGACATGAGGTGAAGCAAGAGACTGTTTAGTAGGAGTAAGAGACCACTTTAATTTTAACTGTGGCCTATTGAGGGCTGGAGCAATATCTGTGAATGTTTGTGTTATCTCATACTGTTCTCTATTCTATTATAGGACCTGGTTTCAGGATTGTGCTGTTGGGAAAAAGTGAGAAGAAAAAAACTAAGCTCTGTAACTTGATTATTGGAGAGCAGACATTTCCTCAACAGAAGCACAGTGTGGCCTATTGTGGAGATTGGAATGGAAAACCACTAATAGTGGTAAAAACTCCTGACATTTTCAATATGTCTAAGGAGAAACTCCAAGAAGTAAATAACTGCGTGAGACTCTGTTATCCTGGACCAAATGTTCTGCTGCTGCTGGTGAAACCTTCAGAATTTCCTGAGCAAGACAGACAAACGCTGATGTCCATCCTGCGTTTGTTTGGTCATGATGCCTTCAAATATTCAATGGTCATCTTAACGAATGGCAGTGAAAAAAATAGCTCTGTTAAGAAGCTCCTTGAAAGGGTTCAAGGAAGATGCTACAACATGAGTAATAACACTGACTGCAGTCAGTTGATGGTGCAGGTTGAGACAGTTGTCCATGAGAACAAAGGGGCATATCTGACCTTTAGGGAAGAGACCAGTAGGCCCCTAGCAGAAAAGATGAAACCTCCACTAAACCTGGTTCTCTTTGGGAGAAGAGGATCTGGGAAGACCTCAGCAGCCAAGGCCATTCTAGGTCAGACAGATCTTCATTCAGTCTCCAGCTCATCAGAGTGTGTCAGAAACCAGGGAGAGGTTCATGGACGTTGGGTTTCTGTGGTGGAGCTGCCTGCCTTGTGTGGAAAAGCTCAGCAGGAAGTGATGGAGGAATCATTCAGCTGTATCTCCCTCTGTGAACCTGAGGGTGTCCACGCCTTCATCCTGGTCCTACCTGTGGGTCCCCTCACTGATGAAGACAAGGGAGAGTTACAGACCATCCAGGACACTTTCAGCTCTAGAGTCAATGACTTCACCATGATCCTGTTCACTGTGGACTCAGATCCTACAGCTCCACAAGTGGTTAACTTCATAAAGGAGAAGAAGGACATCCAGGAGCTCATTCAGAGGTGTAGTGGGGTTTATGTTATCCTCAACACCAAAAGTAGTCAGCAGATCCCAGAACTGTTGGATAGAGTAGAAAATCAGAGAAACGTCATGCCCAAAGTCTTTATAAAGGATATGTTCACCAGAGCTCAGATGGAGAAGGTTGTTGGACAGGAACATATTAATCATGAGCTTAAAGCTGAGCTGGACAAGGTCAAGAAAGAGAATGCTAAGCAAACAGATCATAGAGATCTGAGCAAGGAGTGTTTTAGGATGGTGTTAATTGGTAAAACTGGTAGTGGAAAGAGTGCAACAGGAAACACAATTTTGGGTGAAAAACATTTTAAATCTAAAGCTAGTGGAAAGTCAGTCACTAAGTTTTGTGAGAAAGCAAGTGGAGAAGTTGATGGTCGCCCAGTTGTTGTTGTTGATACACCTGGTTTGTTTGACACGACTCTGTCTAACAGTGAAGTTGAACAGGAACTGGTGCATTGTATTAGCATGTTGGCTCCTGGACCTCATGTGATCCTGCTGGTCCTGCAGATTGGACGGTTCACTAATGAAGAAAAAGAAACTGTTGATCTGATTAAGAAATACTTTGGCAAGAATTCCCAACAATTCATCATTGTTACATTTACCAGAAAAGATGAATTAAAGGAACAAACATTTGAGAATTACATCGAAGATGACTGTGATGACTTTGTCAAAAAACTTATCCGCGACTGTGGGGGAAGATACCATGTATTTAACAATAATGTTAAAAATGATCGCTCTCAGGTCAGGGAGCTGCTGATGAAGGTTGAATCAGTGGTGAATGAAAATGGTGGGGGTTGTTACACCAACCAAATGTTCCAGGAAGCTGAGATTGCAATAAAAAAGGAGGTGGAGAGAATCCTGAAAGAGAAGGAAGAAGAGATGGAAAGACAGAAAAAACAGCTGGAACAAAAACATCAAGAAAAAATACAAGCAATGCAAAAAAAGATGGAAGAACAAAGAGCAGAAATGGAATCAGAGAGAAAACTGAGAGAAAAACAGCTTAAAGAAATGGTTGAAAATATAGCTAAGGAACAAGAACAGAGAAGAAAAGAACAAGAAATAAGAGAAGAGGAGGACAACCAAAAGAAAAGGCAAGAGCAATTTAAGCAACATGAATGGGAAGAAAAACTTCGAGATCTTGAGAAGATCATAAAATCAGAAGAGCAGAAAAAGGAAAGTACTGACCGAGAGCTGGAGAAGAGTAGAGAAGGCATACGAAAGGAAAGGGAAAACTGGGAGAGGGAAAGAAAAGAATGGTGGGAAAAAAGATATCAGGAAAATGAGCAGATACGTCAGCAGGAGCAAGAAAAACTGGCAAAACTTCAAGAGGAATATGAGAAAGAAAGAGAGAAGGATCGAATAAAAAGC